CTACATCTTGGTGGCGGTTGATTATGTCTCTAAGTGGGTGAAGGCAATAGCTTCTCCAACATGCAAAAGTTCTGTGGTGTTAGGTTTCTTGCAGAATACTATTTTTCCCCGATTTGGAGTACCTCGTGCTATCATCAGTGACGAAGGTACGCATTTCTTAAACCGCACCATGGCTGCCCTTTGTGCCAAGTATCATATTCACCATCGCATAGCCACCCCATACCATCCACAGACATCTGGACAAGTTGAAGTATCTAATCGTGAGCTTAAGAGGATTCTTGAGAAAACTGTCAGTTCATCTCGAAAAGATTGGAGTTTAAAGCTTACTGATGCTTTGTGGGCATATAGGACAGCTTATAAGACACCAATTGGGATGTCTCCTTTTCGTTTGGTGTATGGGAAAGCTTGCCATCTGCCTATGGAACTTGAGCACAAGGCATATTGGGCTATTAAGCACCTCAATTTTGACTACCAGGTAGATGGAGAGAAGCGGAAGCTGCAATTGAATGAACTGGAAGAAATAAGGAATGATGCTTATGAGAATGCAAAGATTTACAAGGATAAGACCAAGAAATTTCATGATGCTCACATCCTTCGTAAAGAGTTTCAACCGGGTCAAAAGGTTTTGCTTTTTAATTCGAGACTAAAACTATTCCCAGGAAAGCTCAAATCACATTGGAATGGTCCATATCGTGTTGTACAGGTCCATCTTCATGGGGCTGTGGATATCCAAAACATGCAAACTGGTTTTATCTTCAAAGTTAATGGGCATCCCTTGAAGTTATACAAGGAGTCTCCATATGATCTTGCTAAGGATTCCATCACTTTGAAGGAACCTGTTATTTGAATCAAACTGCTAACAGAATGTCTAGCTCTAGATAGTAACTAAAGCGCTTCTTGGGAGGCAACCCAAGTTTTCTATCTTTCATCTTTAGTTTGAATAATTTTAAATGTTCTTGTTCTGTTTTTCTCTTGTTTTCTAGTTTGTGTTTAAGTCCTACTTTTGCTCCCTTATGCAGGTAATGATTTTGCAATCTCTACAACAACTTCTTGAAAAGTTTCTTAATCCCACGGGTTATTCACACATTTATTATGCATAATGGGACGTGTTGAAACAAGTTTGGGGATGATTTGGAATTCTACCATGGAAAAAAAAATGCATTTTTACTGCTGCTCTCCTCGCCTACACAAATTGGTGTGTTCTTTCCTTTTCTTTATGTGTCTTTATTTCATTTTGTATTTCTTTCCTTCCATTTTTATGTCTTATTGTTCAAAATTCCTTTCATTATCATTGGGGACAATGCTATAATTAAGTTTGGGGGTGGAAATATATTTCGTTAGTTTACTTCTTTTTTTTTTTTTTTTAAAACAATTTGCATTTTTGTTATTGTTTGTAGCTACTTCTCAATTCAATGATGAGTTTTGATCTTAATTTCCTTCTTACTTTCAAGAAGTCTAAGTTCTTTTCGTTGTCTTTGTGTTAACTGTGATTTCCAGCAATCAACTTGAAAAATAAATGTGCCTAGTCTTGTCAATGTGAAACTTGAGCATGATTTAACGTTTCATATGTGAATCATGTGAGATTATGTAAACCTTGTGAGTTTTTGAGCCTATACATGATTGAACCATTATGCATCAATCTCATTCCTTCTTGTGCGTATGATCTCACTGTACATGTATCTCTAGAACTTGCTTTATACTTCACGATTCATTAATCAATTCATGTAATAACTTGGAAGTGATATAGGCCATCTTTGGATCGTTTGAGCCTTTTGTGCCTACCTTATATGCTATGTTTATCCGTAGTAGCCCATTGAGCCTTTAACTAAGCTATTTCTTTGTTAGACACATCTCTTTACCTTGCTCCGATATTGGAGTTGAGCCCATACACAGAAATCGATTCCTTATTGTTTTGAGAAAGTATTACATGGGTTGTGCTCTTGGGGGTTTCATTTATTTAGAAAGATGGATGAAGCATGTGTATTACAATGAAATGTGAATTTGATGGGTGATGTAGCTTTTGCAGATTTATGCATAGCTTTGCAGATTTGTTTCTTTCAAAAAAAAAAAAAAAAGGAATGGGAGAGTGTTGATTTGTTGAAAATGTGTCTGCGGAATATAAATTTCCTTTTGAAGTTGAATTTGGGGAGTAACAGGTGCTCGAGGTTTTATTATTTTGCTTTCAATTTGAGGTGGTGTGATATTGAGGTGTTGGAAAACTACTAAAGTGTACTTTCTCAAAATTTTTTATTTCCATATCCTTTCTTTCATTAGCCTATCACCTTTAGCCCCATTACAACCGTAATAAAGTCCTATTGATCCAAGGTATTACTTAAATATTGATAGCGAGTTAGGTGGACAAGCAAGCATATGACGGCATGTACAATGAGATCACTTGAGTGAAACACATTAACCAAAACTTATGAGTGAATGAGCGTATGTCTTGTGAGAAGCTCACATGTTTGCATATGATGATTTAAAGGAGCTTGGAATTGCATTGACATGGCTAGCTCACACATGACATTTCAACGTTTTGTTTGAAGGAAATTTGGTTAATTATTGGATGATGTTTTTAGCTCTTGTTGCTTAGTTCTTGGCTGTTTGTTTCATGGTTAGCACTTATCTCTGAAATCGAAATTGAGAAGTTGGCTACTAAGTTGTTGAATCTAGTCTTAGTTGAGTGGTTTTGTTTTGTGTTTTGTTTTGCTAGAGGACTAGCAAAAATGTAAGTTTGGGGGTATTTGATTACTCATATATTTCATGTATTTATACAATCCATTTCTAAAGTCTTTGTGATGTTTTTGTGTTAAAATGGTTGCATTTTACCTTACCTTGTGTTAGTGTGCAGTTAAATTTGCTTTAGGATCAATTTCAAGCAAAAAGGAGAAAAGGAAATAATAAAAACAAACAAAAGAATTGGAAGTGGAGCTTGTCTCCACGGGTGGTGTTTGAAAAAGAAATCAGAAAGCAAAGTGGGAGAGTGAGGATGAAGGGAGGAGCACATGGAAGTGGGAAAGAAAGAGAAGAAAAAAATAAAATAAAATAAAAGTGTGGAGGGAACACACGGCATTTCCGGAAAGAGGAAAGAAAAGATGGTAGAAAAGAGGAGAACATGGGGTGCCCACTATGAAGTGGAGTTTGGTTGGTCTTCCACTTGTAGCTTTGGTTGGTTTTGGCAATTATTGCCTTTTGTTGAAGGCAATACACGAAAGGAGGAGGGGAAGACAGAGTGGAGGACATTCAGAATGGAGCAGCAGAGGAGTATTCATTGCAGTACAAAATAAAGGTGTGCAGCTCTCATTAGACTTACAGAGTAGAAAGTTGCAGAGAGCAACATAGCAGAAAAAGGAGGAGAAGATCGGAGAGCTTGTTTTGTAAAAAGGGTTGTTTTCCTTCTTTGATTCTTCATGGATAATTTCTTATGTATTCAAATAATTATGTGTAACTAATTTCTTTTCACTAGAGTGAGGCCATGAGTCGCAACATGATTACGTAGATTTCTCTTTCAATTGCTTAAGTGTTGTTACATGCTTGCTTTGATATTTTCAATCTCTAAATTAAACTATCTATGTGTCTTGATGATTGATCACCATTAGGATGCTTAAAAAAGTCATTGGATGCAATTTTGAACAAATTTCATGTTAAAATTGGTTATGCTTCTTGTGATTGAGGATTGTAATTTCTCCTAAGGTAAATATCATACTCTTAGGGATTACATGGTTTAACAAAATGATTTTCATCAAGATTAATGAATCATTTATGTTTATATTTAATCCAAATGTCATGGATAAATTGCATGTAGTGGTATGCGTTTTAACTTGAATGTCACAAGTAAAACATACACAAGGAAAACCCAACTTTCAAAGCATATGTGTTTTCGATTACTTAAGCAATTGGAAGAGCTACGTAGGAGTGTTGTTGGTAAAGGTTGAACTCTAGTATATTGTCAATCTATTTTTCTTCAATCATTTATTTTATCTTGAATTTCCTCATTTACTTGTTTTGTTTAGTTGAATCATTATTTCTATAAGCCATTTCCCTTTTTAAATGTTTGTTTAAGTCACGTACAATAGTATTTAGTTTTGTTGAATTAGTGTAGTTCTTAGAGTTAACTAAGTTAAATACACAAAAGCTCATAAATTGTTTATACCAGTCCCTGAGGAGATCGACATTGCTTGAGCCATTCTATACAACAATATTTGTTCTCTTGCAAGAATTTTCTATGGTTTAACCCTTTGTTTTACAAGTGGTAAAATCGTTATAAAAAATGCATTGCATGATGGATTTAACTGATTTAAGTTTATTATATAGCGAGCTGACAAACATTGTGAGCGTATAAAATATGTAGTAATTAATTAAAGAAGTTTAAACACACCAAAATCATTTATATATAATGAAGTAGTACAATATTTTACACTTTATACATTGCATGGTAAGATAGATGAGTGACTTAGTACCACATAGAGTTCCTATCAAGGTCTAAAATATCGATGATATCGGAAATATCGGTAATCCAAAAACACGAAAATTTCGAAGGAAATATCGGGATATTATCGATATTTTAGACCTTGTCGCTAACCAACCAGTGGGGTTTTTATTCAAGCTCAAATATTTCAAAACAATAAAAAATAAAAAAAACTTACATCCCTCGGCCACCAGCAAGAGCTTCCTCTGATGAGTCTTTCCATTCATCAATTCTTAAAAATTAATCCTAATTATTTCACGCTTAATTAATTACGTTGAGAGAGAGAGAGAGAGAGAGAGAGAGACTTACACCCAACCGTAACGACGGTCGAACAAAAGGCGTTTGGAAGGCGAATTTGAGGACTCCATTATCTCTCTCTGAACGTCTCTCGAGTGAGAAAACAAGAGACGAAGCAGGACAAGTCGTTGGAAATTTGGGCTGAATATGATATGGGGCTGGCCCATTTTCTTGTGGCACTTTTCGTAAATATAGACAACTACCGCAGTTAATATTTGAAAAACAGTTCCACATTACAAACCGCCTCAGTTTTCCCGCTTCGCTCGAATCTTCCTTGGCTCTCTCTCCCGATTCTCTCTCTCTGGGAGCTCTGGGAATGGCGAACGTGAAAGAAACAGCTCAATTTCCACAAAAATCCATGAATTCAGGTACTTTTCCTTTTACTTTTCACCGATTCATCAATTCACCCCTCTCATTTTTCCTCGGAAAATTTAGAAACTGAGTTCTTAATTTGAATTAGTCTGAATTCGATCATTTTCCAGTGGAGCAATTATCTGTTTGATACAAATTCTGGATAATTTTATTGCTTCGGTTAACCATTTGATTAGAATTTCGAGTAGAAAGATTACGATTGATTTGTGCTGGAAATGGTAGGATTAATGGAGTGAAGAAATCTTAAATGTTGGATTGTGATTGCAGGTGGTGGTGGTGGGGTTTGTATGATGAGCAATACATGGAGGGACGAACAACATCCATCCTTCATCAACTTCATCTCCACTTTCCTCGCCGCAAACTCTTTCCGCCTCAACTTTGTCCCAATTACCCCCGTAATTTCCTTCAATTTAATCATGTGATCTCATGTTAAAAGGACAAAAGAACTGAAAAGAAAATAATTTTGGTGCATCTGATGGTTGGATTTGCACTGCAGGACTTCATTTTCAACTGTGGGGGTTCATCTGTGGCATTCATTTTCATGACTAGCTTGGATTCCGGTACCATCTCGCAATTCTTCGGCAGGTGAACAAGTTAATTGCTTTCGTTTTTCGGTGCCTCTTGCATGCGTGTGTGCTTGTGTTTTGTGTTTGACGTGATCACTTTTATTATTTGTACAGAGTTCAGAAGCTGAAGCTGCAATTTACAAATCTATATGTTGTCATCACGCTCCCAACCAAGGAGCAAAACGATTTGTTTGTTCGTTCTTACTTCAAGTGAGCTATGTCAAAACTCGAAAGAAACTTCTGTCCAATTGATTTTTGATATGTCAAAACGATACAAATGGTTTTTAAATCTGTGAAGATTTGGGATGGAACTCGGCAAGCCAACATTCGTTCTGGTTAAGGACTTGGAAATGGGGTTCGAGAAGATAACGAAAATAGCTCATTCTCGTGGGGGTAATAAAATCTTGCCCAAGGCTCACTTACCTTATTCATGAATTGTTTTCCAAGTAATTTGTCTAAGACTCCTAAGCAAACACTGATTACAGTGTGCAAGCGAGGGGATGCCACAACAAAATTGAAGGCTGAGGTTAGTGTGAATTTTGACCGTATTTATGTAGAATGCTTTGGTTTTTAGGAGTTAGGACCTCAAAACATCCCCATTTTGTTCAATTTTGTTGGAGAAGAGGAAGCAAACAGTGCAAACACCAGGCATTTCAAAAAGTGATCACAGCCATTCCGGGCATCGACAATCATGATGCAAATGCGGTACTTATCTCATCCTAATCAACGAAATTGATTTGTATAATCATACGTTGGTTTCTTATTCTGGGTAATTTGTTCAGCTTAACCAGGCTATCGGATCGATCGAAGGAATTGCCAAAGCATCAAAGGAGCACATTATGGAAAACACAGACCTCTCAGCTGACAAGGCACAAGTGCTTTCAAGGTTTTTCAGAGATCCAAAGTTTTACCTCAGTCCTAAGATCAACTGAGAGGAGTAGCTCGTTTATCTCAGTAAATGTCAAGGTACTGCTTTAAACACAATCAGGGTCACGTATTGAAAACCATGATTATTATTATTTCTCTTTTTAGTTCCGTACATAAAGGATTTGAGAGGGTTTCAGGAGACAAATAACGTGCTCCGCTTAAACACTCCCGAATGAACGAAAACTATATACCCCCAAATCCCTAGCAGGTAATAACTATTCCTCATATCAAAAAGCTACACTTACACTTATCAGGAGCCACAATAGATCCGCATCTCAAAAAGGTACACAACTCGGGCTGTGTTACACCATATTTCAATCTTCGGGCTGCGGGCTTCCCCCCGTATGACGGGGCACCAAGGTATGAAGCAAGCCGCAACAGGTCACTGAAGACTTCGCCAGCAGTGACTTCAGCAGCAGCACCAGGTCCACGTATTATGGGGTTGAGCTTTGTATCTAGTTGTTGTCAACGCAATTATATTATCTGCCACGGAAAGCTGAGCAAATGGATAATCATTCTCGTACGTCTGCAGCTTCACTTCCCCTTTCTGATTGACCATGTCAACCACCCCAACAAATTTCAAGACCTTCAGATATCAAAAAGAAAAGTCAGGAGGGAAGATGAGAATCATTTAAACATATCAACAACAACAACAACAAAGCCTTTTCCCACTAAGTGGGGTCGGCTATATGAATCCTAGAACGCCACTGCGCTCCGTTTTGTGTCATGTCCTCCGTTAGATCCAAGTACTCTAAGTCTTTTCTTAAGGTCTCTTCCAAAGTTTTCCTAGGTCTTCCTCTACCCCTTCGGCCCTGAACCTCTGTCCTGTAGTACATCTTCGAACCGGAGCGTCAGTAGGCCTTATTTGCACATGTCCAAACCATCGTAACCGATTTTCTCTCATCTTTCCTTCAATTTCGGCTACTCCTACTTTACCTCAGATATCCTCATTCCTAATCTTATCCTTTCTCGTGTGTCTACACATCCAACGAAGCATCTTCATCTCCGCTACACCCATTTTGTGTACGTATTGATGCTTCACCGCCCAACATTCTGTGCCATACAACATCGCCGCCCTTATTGCCGTCCTATAAAATTTTTCCTTGAGCTTCAGTGGCCTACGACAGTCACACAACACGCCGGATGCACTCTTACACTTCATCCATCCAGTTTGTATTCTATGGTTGAGATCTCCATCTATTTCTCCGTTCTTTTGCAAGATAGATCCTAGGTAGCGAAAACGGTCGCTCTTTGGTATTTCCTGATCTCCGATCCTCACCCCTAACTCATTTTGGCCTCCATTTGCACTGAACTTGCACTCCATATATTCTGTCTTTGATCAGCTTAGGCGAAGACCTTTAGATTCCAACACTTCTCTCCAAAGGTTAAGCTTCGCATTTACCCCTTCATGAGTTTCATCTATCAACACTATATCGTTTGTGAAAAGCATACACCAAGGAATATCATCTTAAATATGTCATGTTAACTCATCCATGACCAAAGCAAAAGGTAAGGACTTAAGGATTGTTGATGCATAAAATCAGTGAGGACTTTGGTACAACAGAAAGTATTAAGTTTGTGATCTTCGCTAGATTGCTCCGGTCATTAGTGTGGTATGTAAATGGATAGAGACAGGAAAGCAAACATAAGATATATGTGGTTCATCCAGATTGGCTACGTCTACGGAGTAGAGGAGTTCTCATTAATTGTGAAGGGTTTACACAAGTACATAGGTTCAAGCTCTCCTTTAGTGAGTACAAATGACATTAGGAAATATTGTGGGAGAATGATCTCGTAATCACGAAACTTCTAAGTACCGAAATGTGATATCGCCTTGTCTGTCTCATAGGTAGATGTGGCATCTTCTCTGGAAGTACTCTTCCTCCATCCAGGGGTGGTATCTTTAACTGGTGGAGATGCACAAGGTAATGTATCAATTTCACTTGAAACTTACTTGTAGTTTCAGACTTGGTCAAGCGCGATACAAACCATGTAGTAGGAGTCCCCCAAGTCGCCGAGCTAGGGGATCTGCTGAAAGAGGTGACAGATAAGGTAAGCAATCAGAGCTCCAAGCAATCATTCCCAAATCAGAAGTTTGATTTCAAGTTCCGGCTGATTGTTCTCATTCTCCCTATCTTTTTAGTTCTCTTTTTAGTTCCGTACATAAAGGATTTGAGAGGGTTTCAGGAGACAAATAACGTGCTTCGCTTAAACACTCCCGAATGAACGAAAACTATATACCCCAAATCCCTAGCAGGTAATAACTATTCCTCATATCAAAAAGCTACACTTACACTTCTCAGGAGCCACAACAGATCCGCATCTCAAAAAGGTACACAACTCGGGCTGTGTTACACCATATTTCAATCTTCGGGCTGCGGGCTTCCCCCCATATGAAGGGGCACCAAGGTATGAAGCAAGCCGCAACAGGTCACTGAAGACTTCGCCAGCAGTGACTTCAGCAGCAGCACCAGGTCCACGTATTATGGGGTTGAGCTTTGTATCTAGTTGTTGTCAACGCAATTATATTATCTGCCCCGGAAAGCTGAGCAAATGGATGATCATTCTTGTACGTCTACAGCTTCACTTCCCCTTTCTGATTGACCATGTCAACCACCCCAACAAATCTCAAGACCTTCAGATATCAAAAAGAAAAGTCAGGAGGGAAGATGAGAATCATTTCAACATATCAGAGACCAAAAAAAAAAAAAAAAAACAAGAGGGGAAAGTGCTCGTCATCTACTATATTCTTGTATATCCCTGCCCCGAGAACTCGGAAAATAAAACTATCCACTTTCTCTAAACTATTATCGCTAATAAAAATCCATAGCGCATGTCAACACAACGTAAAGAAATAATGCATCATCGAAGGAAACCAGAATGATATGATTCAAATATTTATAAGAGACGTCCAATGGCCCATGGACAGCTAGTAAGCTTCTAAACAACCACTCGATTAATATATCGATCAAATATCGCTAGGTTAAGATTGTGGTATCACACAGGAATAAGAGAAGAAATGTATATGAGAGATACTTACTCCTCCTGCATCCTCAGCTGTCTGTCTTTTCTTACTCTCTTGATCAAATTGTGGAAGTTTTTGCATGAATTCCTCGGCTGATGCACTATCCTGAAAACATCTCATCCAAAATTCAATTGTTAATGGTGAGCTTTTGCACTTGGTAATGTACATTAGAAAATGATTTTACCTTCAATGGTTCTGGCACAAGGGCTTTCAACAGGGATGTCAGAGAGTTCCAGCTTAAGACCAGATTCCCTAGCAAGCATTATCACCTGCATTTGATGGTTTTACTTAGGTGGCAAATCCCACACAAAACAGTAAGCAAAAATCAAGAAAGCTAAGATTGGAGTTTGGGCATGGGGGCCCAAACTATAGGGTCTCGTTCAAAATTTGAGGACGTAAACTGATTAAACAGACGAAACATCATCACATTATAAGCCTACATAACTAAGCAGACAAAAGATAGGACATAGCACCTTTCTACAAACATCTGTTCCAGATCGGTCATCCCATGGATCCGGCTCAGTATAACCTGCCTGCTTTGCTTCAGCCACCAGCTCACTGAAAGTGCGTCCTCCAGTGAAATTGTTGAAAGACTTGTGTTGAAAGTCATATGAGGTGTGCATTTGCAGACATCAAGATTTTACGTGTAAACAAAGGTGTTACTCCATTAAAAAAAAAGAGGAACCACTCTTGTAATATTTTCAATTTGCACAGAGAGAAGATACAAATCAAAAGTTCTCCACAAACCTGAAGATGCCTTCAATACGCAATATTTTGTCTCCAGTTTCGAGGAGACCTTGTAATGTATTAATAATTGGCAGACCAGCTCCAACAGTAGCGTCATAGATAGAAGTAATGTGTATATGATTGCCGTTGAAGAGGTCGTAATTTTAAATACTGCATGAAGAAAAGCAATGTCATAACCGATTAAACCCAAAAAAAACACACACGCATGTACACAAGATATGAACACTATTATTGCATTATCAGAATGCATTATTATTTTAGGAAAACTAATGAAACCCTATTTTAGGAAAACTAATGAAAAGGGTTTAAAAACTTTAAATGTTAACCAAAAACCATGTAGTAACTTTATTTAATGGTTAGAACAAAGCCCAATAATAAACCAGTCCAATTAAAATGGCCCAAATATTAAATTTTCGATTTTGTCCCTGACAGCAAAGCCTATGTCCGTCTAATATCTCCCTTCATTTATGGAGGATCTCTCTCCTACTGTCCGTCTCCCCCATTTCTTCTTGGCATTCTAAACCTTTCATTTTTCTTTCTAATTTCGCATCGCAGCTCCATCTCTGTCTTTGCCAGTATGCAAAACCCACATATCCGACCCCAAACTTAATTTTGAGCCGTCTTCATCTCTGTCAAAATCGCAGAGGATCACCGATTCTCTCTCCCAAAATTTCCCAGTAAAGATGAGCAAGGGACCTGGACTTTTAACCATCGGCAAAAAAGCAAGGTTAAGCAATCATTTTCACTCTCTCTCTCTCTCTCTCTCTCTCTTCGTCTCTGCGATATTTCTACTGTTTTTTCGTCTCTTGATTGCGCGTAATTAGTATCTAAAACCCTGCATTTTGGCTTTTGTTGCAGATCTTCTGACGAATGACTACAGCTCCGATCGGAAATTCACCGTCTTGATTGTGTCAGTTTGGAGTTGTTACTATGTATCATCTCTTTTCTTTGTTTCATATTATTATAGACTTCGATATTTATATGCATGCATCTAATATTGACATGGATCTAAGCACAAATCTCAGAAAACAGAGGTATAAATCTTTGTCTTTGACTTTTTTATTCAAATTGTTGTGCTTATTGAGCTACAAAACAACCAATGTCTGATATATTTGTATGTATAGTTTGTGAATTGGGCATGAACATTTATTTGGGTAAGCTTGAATTCTGCATATAAACTGTTTGTTTAGGTTAATTTGTTGTCTGGAGCTGAAACTTTCCTTGCTGCTATTTATCTATTTCTATTGACCTTTCGCATTAGCGAAAATGATAAATGACAGTATTCATTTAATTACCTTGCCATGATTTAGCTGTACCTCTAAAGACCTATCTGCCTGATGGAGATATTGATTTGATTGCTTTGGGTGTTGTGAATGTTGAGGAGGCGCTGGCCAATGACATTTGCACTGTCCTTGAAAGGGAATATCAAAATATGGCTGCTGAGTTTATGGTGAAAGATGTCTAGTTGATTCGGGCTAAGGTTTTTAGCTTTTACCTCTTAACTTTATTAGATTGATGATAGGTATAAGTTACAACTTAGTGTTGACGCTGCCATCTATGTCTAGTAAAGTTTTTGTGTTGAATTGATGTTGTGTAACTTGCATTTCCCTTTAATTAAATTATTACGTGCTTGTCTATGTCATTAGTCATTATTTTGATTCTAGTTAACAAACTTTTAATTTTCCTCTGTAAGACTATTTGTTTCTGTTGTGGCAGGTTAAGCTTGTAAAGTGCCTTGTACAAAATATTGGGGTCGATATTTCCTTCACACAGTTTGGAGGGCTATGTACACTATGCTTTCATGTGTAGGTAGTCATTCACACAGAGCTGAATTGAAAATGAAGTTCAATTTCTCACAAATGAATTAAATGATTTACCAGATTTCATTCGTATAATCAGATTCTTTTTGGGAAGCTCTGAGTTGTCTAATGAAACTGGTATTTCAAGTCTTCTATTAAAAGTATATGCTGACTTATGCCTTATAAACGATAACCTTGAATGGTATGCAATTAGTTGTACTCTGTTGGGTGGTGACTCCACCTGCTTCTGTTCTTTTCATATAGTTTTACTTTAATCTTATGATATGTTTTTGGTGATCTGAGTGGTTTGTGATTTTTTGGATATATGTCCCTCGTTATTTAGCTTCCCTAAACATATCCATGATGGGCTCTCATAATAGCACCTTGCTTTAATTAGTATGCTACTGCGTTTGAAAAGATGTTCTTGGTGCCCATCATGGTTTGATTTCGACATATACTTTGGAGACTTTGGTTCTGTATATTTTCCATCTCTTCCATTCATCGTTGTATGGTCCTCCAGCGGTGAGTGCTTTAACGCTTTAGCACTAGGAAACTAAACCGAATCGATTTTTTTTTTTTCTGTTTGGTTGATGAGAAAATGATGAAAAAGTTGGTGCTGAAATCTATGTGAATTCGTGTATCTTGATTGGCACTTTGATGGAATTTGATCTGACAATGCATGTTGTAGTGGAGGAGAAGCACATGCTCGAATAGGAAGGGGGTATGACCATGATGGATATACCAATTAACAGGCTTATAAGATGCCGAGGGTATCTGCCAACGGGAAAAAGCAAATCTAATGCATCCCATGCGGCATGATAAACAACTCTCGTGGGGTAGGTTGGACCTCCATGAGAAATGAAGCTATACAGACAAGCCTTTAACCTTGTGTTTGTGGCCATTCTCAGCTCCTTGGGGTTCTTAAGTTTAGTAGGATATACAACATATGATTATGTAACAAGTAGATATGTTTTCTGCAAACAAGTTTCTTCCTTTCAGGGGTGTTGAATTAAGTGTACAAATTAAGCTTGAGCACCCGAATTGGTACTGCTTTCTTGTTCGAGCGCATGTCAACCATGCAAAAACGACCTATTACCGACTGATACATCATGCATGGTCGTTGCCAATAAAGTTAGATGGCGAGTTCAAAATATGTGGAAAGTTTTCTTGAAATTACATCAAATGATTTTTGAGCCTATGAGCAACTAAACTATACAAGCCCTAGTTTAGTTTAGATCAAATGATTTCTTAAACCAAACACTAGTATTATCACTATTTTGTAAACTAGTACTGTGACTATTTCGTAAACTAAACACTGATTATTTCTTAAACCAAAAACTAATTATTTCGTAAACTAAACACTGACTATTTCTTAAACCAAACACTAACTATTTCGTAAACTAAATAGACTATTTCTTAAATTGAACATTGACTACTTCTTAAATCGAACACTATTTCTTACACTAAACATTGACTACTTCTTAAACTGAATAATATTTCTTAAACTAAACACTAACTATTTCTTAAACGGAACACTAATACTATCACTACTTCTTAAACTGAACACTGATTATTTCATAAATTGAACACTAACTATTTCTTAAACTGAACGCTAGTACTATTACTATTTTGTAAACTAAACACTGACTATTTCTTAAACTAAAAACCTTGTAAACTAAACATTGATTATTTCTTAAACCTAACACTAGTACTATCATTATTTTGTAAACTAAATAGACTATTTATTAAACCAAGTAATAGTATTATCACTATTTTGTAAACTAAGCACTGACTATTTCTTAAACCAAACACTAGTATTATCACTATTTTGTAAACTAGTACTGTGACTATTTCGTAAACTAAATACTGACTATTTCTTAAACCAAAAACTAACTATTTCGTAAACTAAACACTAACTATTTCTTAAACCAAAAACTAACTATTTCCTACCTGATTTGGATGCCTTTTAACATTACATGTTGAGTCGTTTATCAAGTTTCAAGTTACTAAATAGCTAGTCCACTTTTAGAATGTTTTTCTTCGAGTATTTATGTGAACGTACATGGACATGTTTTTGTGGGTGAGAGTGACTAATTGCCTTTTCTTTTCCTAGACTATTTATTCTCTTGTAGTCCTGGTTTTTCATGCATTTGGTGTTAGGAGAGACAGGTATAGCATGGCTCACTGACCTTTTTAATAGGATTTTGAAAACGAAGAAGATGCCAAATGAGTGGCGAAAGAGCACTTTGGTGCCTATCTACAAGAATAAGGGCGACGTACAAAATTGCATGAACTATAGGGGTATTAAGCTAATGAGTCATACAATGAAGCTCTGGGAGAGAGTCATTGAGCATAGATTAAGGTAAGAGACACGGGTTTCGGACAACCAATTCGGATTCATGCCAGGGCGCTCAACCATGGAGGCAATCTATCTCTTACGAAGATTGATGGAAAAATATAGAGATGGGAAAAACGATTTACACATAGTCTTTATAGATTTGGAAAAAGCGTATGATAGGGTCCCAAGAGACATTCTTTGGAGGATTTTAGAGAAGAAAGGAGTACGAGTAGCATATATCCAAGCTATAAAGGATATGTATGAAGGAGCAAAGACTGCCGTAAGAACTCATGAAGGACAAACCGAAAGCTTCCCCATAACTGTAGGATTACATCAAGGCTCATCCTTAAGTTCTTACCTCTTTGCGTTGGTAATTGATGAGTTAACAGGACATATTCAAGATGATATTCCTTGGTGTATGCTTTTCGCAGACGATATAGTGTTGATAGATGAAACTCAGGAAGGGGTAAATGCGAAGCTTAACCTTTGGAGAGAAGTGTTGGAATCTAAAGGTCTTTGCCTAAGCCGATCAAAGACAAAATATATGGAGTGGAAGTTCAGTCCAAATGGAGGCCAAAATGAGTTAGGGGTGAGGATCGGAGATCAAGAAATACCAAAGAGGGACTGCTTTCGCTACCTAGGATCTATCTTGCAAAAGAACGGAGAATTAGATGGAGATCTCAACCATAGAATACAAGTTGGATGGATGAAGTGGAAGAGTGCATCCGGCGTGTTTTGTGACCGTCGTATGCCACTGAAGCTCAAGGGAAAATTTTATAGGATGGCAATAAGGTCGGCGATGCTGTATGGCACAGAATGTTGGACGGTGAAGCATCAACACATACATAAAATAGGTGTAGCGGAGATGAGGATGCTTCGTTGGATGTGTGGGCACACGAGAAAGGATAAGATTAGGAATGAGGATATCCGAGGTAAAGTAGGAGTAGCCGAAATTGAAGGAAAGCTGAGAGAAAATCGGTTACGGTGGTTTGGACATGTGCAAAGAAGGCCTACTGACGCTCTGGTTAGAAGATGCGACTACGGGACAGAGGTTCAGGGCCAAAGGGGTAGAGGAAGACCTAGGAAAACTTTGGAAGAGACTCTAAGAAAAGACTTAGAGTACTTGGATCTAATGGAAGACATGACACAGGATCGAGCACAATGGTGTTCTAGGATTCATATAGCCGACCCCACTTAGTGAGAAAAGGCTTTGTTGTTGTTGTTGGTGTTAGGATATATAATTAATAACAATTGCAGACCGAGAGAGAGAGAGAGAGAGAGAGAGAGAGAGAGAGAGAGAGAGAAATGGTTAACCAACGATATAGGAGGGAGGATGGATGAGAGGGTGATTGTTCTTGTTTGCAAGGAGTCTCAGTGAATTGCGTCGCAATTTTAAGTTTAGTTGGAAGGAAGGAATTGGATCTTGGGTTATAATAGTTTCTTACTTGTCACGTCACAGATCTTGTTTACAGAAAATCCAATTTTATAGATTTTCATGAATTGATTTTTGTGTGATATGAGCTGGATTTTCATGTTGTATTTCGCTATCTCAGCATGTGCTCTCTCCATAATCTACCTCTTCAACATGCAATTTGACCAAAATAACCAACATTATTTCTGAAAGGAAAGAAAACACACGGCAAAGTATTTCTCCGTTTGATATCTGTTCCATTTTAAGAGATCATGAGCAGACTGCAATGAAGAAGCACCAAGATCTTGGAAACCTTGCTTCACAGCTTGCACTGTGTATGGTATGAACTTCAAAATAGAACCTTTGTCTGCAACTGTCCTAACTACCCCTTTACAATTTCCAGCTTAGCTGTATTGCCCAAGTACCTCTGATCACTCCCTTTTGTCATTGCTTCAAGAGATTCCATGCCTCGACATTTTTTACTTGGCGACCATTCTAATACAAAACATGAAATCACTTCTATCCAACTGTTTACTTAATAGAGGTTTAAGCATGTAGAAAGCTAATCAACAATGACAAAGAAATAACAAACAACATGTTGAAAATCCAATGCAATTTATATATACAACTTTTGCTTTTAGTTTAGAAATAAAGGAAGATGCACATCATTGGGTCGTAGATTAGATTCAGGGGATTGTTTCTCTAGCCAAATCGCAGCAAATCGAGTGAGGTGAGAAGACTGCGACGGCGAGCGAGGTGGGCGAGGTGTTTCGAGCGAGGTGGGATTTAATTAAGCAACTGTAATATTTGCTTTTCTGTTCTTTTGGTCACTTGAAATGTTGTGTAGTTGTTTTACCAGAATTGGCTGACGGAATGGTTCCGTTAGGGGTAAGAATTGGAAAAAAAATTATTCCGTTTTGGGCTTTTAATTCAGCCCATGTGTTTTCAATGTTTACGAGATCTAATATAGATTAGTTGTGTCCTTATAATTAAATATGAAGTCCTTTTGGTTAAATAATAATATATGATGATTTTTGGTTAAATTAAACTTAGCTCAAACCCTTTTCATTAAAGCTCCCTTATTCTTCTAAATTTTTCTTAAATTATTATCCATTCTAAAGTTGGTGGGCAATTGGACTGTTCATGGCTATAGTAAAAAAAATGCCCCTCGATTTAACCTTATTTGCAAGAAAGCCATCTGTTTTGGGGCGGGTTTTTATCACAAATGGTCCTTGACATTGATCAAACACATCATTTTGGTCCTTGACATTGAAAATCAATAGAAATGGTCCCTGAGATTGATCAAACACATCACAAATGGTCCTTGCGTTAAAAACTCTTAGGGCAATTTTCAAAGCTTCGTAACTCAATCGTTTCTTAACCAAATTCGACCCATAATATATCAAAATGAAGATAAGAAAGTGTAGAACAAAATTATACCTATGGTTGCCGGAGATGGCCGGAAAATAGTTTCAAATGTAACTGGTCCACAGAAAAACTGAAAAACTCGCTAGAAACTGGGTAAACTTTAAACGTTCATAACTTCTTCAATAATCAACGAAATCGAGTGATTCAAAAACAAAAATCATATTTCTCGACGAGACGAAGAAAATGGTATCTTTATTGATGGCTAACTAGCCATAGTTTGGCCCGAAAACGGCTCAAAATTGGCTAACTTGAAAATGGTTATCCAATTTCGAGCCATTTTTCGACCAAACCACGGTGAATTAATAGTCAATAAAGGCACCATTCTCTTTGTCTTGTCGAGAAGAATGATTTTCATTTTTGAATCACTCAATTTCGTTGAGTATTGAAGAAGTTATGAACGTTTAAAGTTTACCTAGTTTCTGGCAAGTTTTCCAGTTTTTCCACGGACCAGTCACATTTGAGGCTATTTTCCAGCATCTCCGACAACCATTGGACTTCAAAATAGGTATAATCTTGTTCTATACTTTCCTATCTTCATTTTGATATATTATGGGTCAAATTTAGTTAAGAAACGATTGAGTTACGAAGCTTTGAAAATTGCCCAAAGAGTTTTTAACGGAAAGATCATTTGTGATGTGTTTGATCAATCTCATTGACCATTTTTATTGATTTTCAATGTTAGGGACCAAAATGATGTGTTTGATCAATGTCAGGGACCAATTGTGATAAAAATCCATTTTGGGGATGTTTTGAAGGGTAATTCTCAAAAGTTCAGAGGGTGATTTTGTCCATATGGTTTGGCACGGAGCCACTCGATTTCATGCTATTTACAACAATACCACCCAAACGGGGTTGGGAGGGTAATTCTCAAAAGTTCAGATGGTAATTTTGTCCGTTTAGTTTAGATACACGCGTGAGCTCCCCACTTATCTCTCACTCTTCCTCTTTCTCTCCTACGCGAGCCCTCTCTCATCTCTCTTTCTTCCTGTATCTGAACTCCTCAAACTCTAGCAGCCACAACTCCATCTCTTCCGTTTCTCTCATCCTAGAACGGAAGAAATATGGAAAATCAGGGCTCTTCCATTTGCTTCCACAGATTTCTCGAGCTCCGGATCACTAGCCTCCGTACGAAGGTTCGTTTCTCTCTCTCACTTTTTTTTTTCAATTCGTGATCGAATTTTCTTTCCAAGAATGTTAGATATGTTGCCTTCGGGAAGAATACCCTGCATTTTTTTGCCTTTTTCTTTTTAGTTATTTTTTTCCTTTTTTTTTTTTTTTTTTGTTTTCTGATGAGAATGCATGTTTTGGATTTACTGATCTTCGATTCCGCCTCCCCTCTCCTCTACCTGACCTTCCTTTTCTCCCTCCTCTTCTTCCTCTCCTACTTCTTCTCTCTCACTCCTGATTCCCTCTTCCTCAAGACCTCACTTTCCATTTACCCAAAAGTTCATTCGGTTCTCCATCGCCACGCGGTTGCTCCCGGCAGTTACCCAAAATTTCTGTTTTTGAGCCCTGATAAGATCAGGATTTCGGTCTGGAATCTTACGGTTAACTCATTCGTAGTGGGAGGTATGTGGGTTTTCCCCTGTGTTTTTTTGTTGGTATTTTTGGTTATTTTCCTGTATATTGCTTTCCCGTATATCAAATTTTCCTGTTTTTTAGTACGTTAGGTCCAGTTTTGGGGGATTCATCTCTCTCTTTATTCCCTGATTTGTTTCATTTTGGGATTCACCTTCTGTTCAGTCTGTTTGTTCTTTGTTGTAAGGTCAGTTGCTTTTTTTTTTTTTGGGTTTTCAGTTCGTTAATTTGTTTAGTTGTTGTTAATTTTACAGTAATTGTTTCCCCTAATCTGGATTGTTAAGTTTTCGAAGGTTTTTTTTTTCCAAAAATCCACATGAACTAAGCTTCAATGCTAAAAGGAGACCTGGGTTTTATTTTTTGCTGGAGTTTATAATGTATTTAGATTGGGAACACAATCTTTGTTGAATTCTAAGTTTTTATCCACTTTTGGTTTTTTCCCCTTCAATGGTTTCAATTAATTGTTGTTTTAGTATAACTATTGCTCTCTAAGCTGCGAAATTAGGTGTAAGAAAATATTTTGTATACTTATATGGAACTGTTGATTTTCGTAGCAACTAAGGATATGTATAATTGTATTCTGGCCTTTTGAATCTGTTGGCTTTTCTGTTTTGATCAAAATTGTTGATTTCTTTTGTGGAATTGGGTTTTAGCCTCGAATCAGAGACATGGGTGCTTGAGAACGTTTAATTTTTACATGCATTGTAAAGTGTTTGTAATTGTAAACATGTTTGAATCTTATACTTTCTATTTTTTTTCCTTTTTTTGTTTGTATTTTTTAGGTAGCAAAATGATGTAAACTCGCGATTTACGGTGGCTTTGAAAGGGTGACTTGCTCTTATAAAGTTCTGGAAGACAAACTGCTTTGGAGCCAGCAACACTCAATAGCCAGAACAATGACCTTTCTCTCCCTTATCGGAAAATAAGTGCTTTCAGGGTGAGCCGCAATGCTCTTAATTTGGAGTAATGGGTTTGTGTTACTGTGCAGATCTGCCCAACTTCCCATTTAGTTTCTTGGAATTTTTTTTTTTCCAATTATATATTTTAGTGCTTTTATGTTTGTCCGTGCTAGGAATTTGGAAAGCTCTAGAAACAATATAGTTCTTGGGCTAATGTGAAGATTTTGTGTTGAATACTTTGATTCCGTTTTACTATTTGCACTTAGAAAAACAGAGGATTGTGGTTAATTATTGTGCTGTGAAGCTTCTATTCTTTCTTTTTATGCCCAAGATTGACCTCTGCTGTTGAAAAGTACTTCCAACTCTCTCTTTCTCTAAAAAATATGATCCAGTGTGAAGTTTGGTTGTTTCTCTCTCCAGAAACTTACATTTCATATTGCACCCATTAACTGCAAAAGAAGTAGATGCCTAAAATTTTGATCTTTGTGTTTCAAAAATAAATGCCTGATGTTTTTATCTTTGTGTTTCTCTCTCTAGATTAAGCTTATTCATTCTTATTCTTAGAAATGTAGAAGTGGTTGAGTTCTAATCTTTGCTTTCTTTTTTACTGAAATTATTTTCTGATTTCTGCTATTAATTGCTGCTGAAATGTGACTTTTGTTATTACTTTTTTATCCTTCATATTTATACCGCTTTTGGATTCCATTCAAATTAAATAATGTAGTTAATCTTGATATGAATTCTCTTTGCCACAATAGGAGAAGATATTGTAGTAAATGATCAATATTGAATTGATATTGGACTGAGAGATCTAAGGATATGGGAAAACTAACCATACCAAACAGCATAAGAAGAAAAACAAATTTCAAATAAGAGAGCGTACCTGAACAAACCGTATGTTTCAGATTGATGTCTGTTGAGTAGTAGAAGGATGATTTAAGAACTCCCAGGAGAAACATGTAAAAGTGATCGAGCAAATTTATCAAACTCCATGAGGGACAAAAATAGTGTCATTTTAATTTTTAAAAAGAAGGTTGGCATTGGATTGGTAAGCATAATCAATTCTATAGCTGTTGTTTTTTCCTGACCCATATTTGCATTCTACATGTTATCTTTGTGACTGACTTATCAATTCACTAAGCAGCAAGCGGATGTGCTGTTTTTTATTTTGGTCAAAGGGAACGACTAATGGTCTAAGAGATTGCCTAAATGGATCCCAGAATAGTCAAAAATGCATAAAAGTTTAAAATAAATTGAGATCCAATATTATGAGTTGATTATTTATCAGTACCATACATAAAACAAAGGAGTTCTTCTTGATTCAAAGGTGAACCATTTCATGAAATTTTGATATTCTAAACAGTGAATTTGTGTTTTGAGGTAAACAAGAAGCTAAAGTGTAATCAAAGGATTTGTCGACCTATTGTGGAAGGTGAGATGCCAACTTTGTTTCCCAATACTTATCTTTTATGTAAATTGTAATATTTTATATTTTGAAATTCTAAACTGATTGTCCTTCACATGTTTTATGGAAATAGTTACACATCTATCAACAAATACTCACAATCAGTACATCCAAATCTTGGTTATTTAAATTCTTAAGACAATAGATCTTGGGCTCTCTGTGTTCTTAGGCGAGGTATAATATCACGTTTATGGATTAGATTTGTATCTGCAACCCATATGGAGCAAATTAGGTGCAAAGATTATTGACCCTAAATTTTCATAAACCTGTGAAATAAGATATATGCTTTCGATTCATTCTTGAGCTGATATTTAATTGATTTTTGGTAGAATTCTCTATTTCTTCCCATGTCATTAGTTACTTTGATGAGCGCAGGGTTTTTGATTTTATACTTCTACATTGAAATGGTACGATTCTGCTTGATGATCGTGGAAGCCAGTGATTCTGCTTCTACGAAAACTGCACCGACGTCGTTCCAGATCACTACTCCAAACCTTTCGCAACCTCCGAAGCAGGTTTATGAATTTTTTTTTAATATATATATTTCATTTCCCCCTTTTTTAATTTTTTAATTACAAGAAAAGTTTGAATTTGAGGTTCGGATTCGAAGATTACTACTGCTTATAGTTTTAATTTGGTATTTCATTGTTTAAATTACGATTGTCATCAGTTTTCTTAGACAGGGAGGTAATGTTCAATTGATGGAATGTTTTTAAAAGATATTGCTTTTAGAAGGTTATAATGTTATTGTTTGGACCCAAATTTACATCATCGGCCCAAGTAATCGAGGCCGTTGAGTAAGCATAGCTCTCAACCGTCGGATCGGAATAGTTAAGATAATTATTATTGAAGGATATACTGTGGTTTTAATCATGATATATCTTTTAATAATATATCAATTTATCTAAACTAAATATGATCAATATCACGGTGTTTGTTTGAAATCAAACTTTGCATAGGATAAGGATGAAATTGAAATAGTGATGGGGTCAGAATGGCTTTTGGGATTAGCCAAAGACCTACAAGTAGGCCTGGCAATTCCTGACACGACCCGATAACCCGACACGACACGACCCGAAATTAACAGGTGTTCGAGTCGACACGATAACGAATCGGGTATTATCGGGTAACCCGATAAGCACCTGTTAAGATAACGGGTTGGTTCGGGTATACACGTGGGTAACACGATACACGATAAGCAGAATATTAATTTAATAATTTTATAACCCTAAAAAATACTATAATAATTATATATACTATAATAATTATACCCCAAAATATTAACTATAATAATTATATATATATATATATATATTAAATTTTAAATTTAATTTTATACCCCTAAAAAAACTATAATAATTATACGTAAAAAATAAATAGATTTAAATCTACATAATAAGTATATATATATTATATATATATATACACCATTGAACTTGATGTGATATACGAAACTAATTTCAACGATCAAACCGTCAAACTTGTTTGTATATGCTTCGAGATCGCATACGCCAAAAATCACAAAAAACAAACATTCAGAGATTAAGTAATGAGACAAAACTTTTCGACGGTTATAAAACAAAAAATCACGATTTAACGGTTATTTTAACTTCGATTTTGATGATTTTTTACAAGTACACTTGTTGACCCTATACGAATACAATGAATGAATTCGATCATCAATTTAAAATATTTACACAAGTGGATACCACAAAATCTTATGTTATACTTAATGAAAGTATAAATAAACTCTAAGTGTTAGTGAATCTATCGTTTTGATGGGATACAAATTCTATGAAACTAATTTCAACGATTAAACCGTCAAACTTGTTTGTATATGCTTCGAGATCGCATACGCCAAAAATCACAAAAAACAAACATTCAGAGATCAAGTAACGAGACAAAACTTTTCGACGGTTATAAAACAAAAAATCACGATTTAACGGTTATTTTAACTTCGATTTTGATGATTTTTTACAAGTACACTTGTTGACCCTATACGAATACAATGAATGAATTCGATTGTCAATTTAAAATATTTACACACGTAGATACCACAAAATTTTATGTTATACTAAATGAAAGTATAAATAAACTAAGTGTTAGTGAATCTATCGTTTTGATGGGATACAAATTCAATGAAACTAATGTCAACGATCCAACCGTCAAACTTGTTTGTATATGCTTCGAGATCGCATACGCCAAAAATCACAAAACAAACATTCAGAGATCAAGTAATGAGACAAAACTTTTCGACGGTTATAAAACAAAAAATCACGATTTAACGGTTATTTTAACTTCGATTTTGATGATTTTTTTACAAGTACACTTGTTGACCCTATACGAATACAATGAATGAATTCGATCGTCAATTTAAAATATTTACACAAGTGGATACCACAAAATCTTATGTTATACTAAATGAAAGTATAAATAAACTCTAAGTGTTAGTGAATCTATCGTTTTGATGGGATACGAATTCTATGAAACTAATTTCAACGATCAAACCGTCAAACTTGTTTGTATATGCTTCGAGATCGCATACACCAAAAATCACAAAACAAACATTCAGAGATCAAGTAATGAGACAAAACTTTTCGACGGTTATAAAACAAAAAATCACGATTTAACGGTTATTTTAACTTCGATTTTGATGATTTTTTACAAGTACACTTGTTAACCCTATACGAATACAATGAATGAATTCGATCGTCAATTTAAAATATTTACACAAGTGGATACCACAAAATCTTATGTTATACTTAATGAATGTATAAATAAACTCCAAGTGTTAGTGAATCTATCGTTTTGATGGGATACGAATTCCATGAAACTAATTTCAACGATCAAACCGTCAAACGTATTTGTATATGCTTCGAGATCGCATACGCCAAAAATCACAAAAAACAAACATTCAGATATCAAGTAATGAGACAAAACTTTTCGACGGTTATAAAACAAAAAATCACAATTTAACGGTTATTTTAACTTCGATTTTGATGATTTTTTACAAGTACACTTGTTGACCCTATACGAATACAATGAATGAATTTGATCGTCAATTTAAAATATTTACACAAGTGGATACCACAAAATCTTATGTTATACTTAATGAAAGTATAAATAAACTCTAAGTGTTAGTGAATCTATCGTTTTGATGGGATACGAATTCTATGAAACTAATTTCAACGATCAAACCGTCAAACTTGTTTGTATATGCTTCGAGATCGCATACGCCAAAAATGACAAAAAACAAACATTCAGAGATCAAGTAATGAGACAAAACTTTTCGACGGTTATAAAACAAAAAATCACGATTTAACGCTTTTTTTAACTTCGATTTTGATGATTTTTTACAAGTACACTTGTTGACCCTATACGAATACAATGAATGAATTCGATCGTCAATTTAAAATATTTACACAAGTGGATACCACAAAATCTTATGTTATACTTAATGAAAGTATAAATAAACTCTAAGTGTTAGTGGTCTATTAAGGGGCTTGAAGTCGGTGACTCCGAAGAGCAAATTAATTTCCTTAACCATTCGGCTTGCGAGCCGAAGCTCCAGGAAACTGGGGGGCAATGTTTGGACCCAAATTTACACCATCGGCCCAAGTAATCGAGGCCGTTGAGTGAGCATAGCTCTCAACCGTCGGATCGGAATAGTTAAGATAATTATTATTGAAGGATATACTGTGGTTTTAATCATGATATATCTTTTAATAATATATCAATTTATCTAAACTAAATATGATCAATATCACGGTGTTTGTTTGAAATCAAACTTTGCATAGGATAAGGATGAAATTGAAATAGTGATGGGGTCAAAATGGCTTTTGGGATTAGCCAAAGACCTACAAGCTTGCTGTACACGTGGGTTATCATTAGCAATGGCTGATGAGGTGGCGGCTTTTAATTTTGCATGCAGCAAATAAGGAATTCTATTAGGATTCTATCTTTGGCTAACGCATGGAGGAGATGATAATGATTATCTATGGTTCCATGCAATTTAGAAATCTATCAGGATACATGTGATGACTTCCAGCTGGCCAACGAGTGATGAGGGGACAATTATCCTAATGCAATTGCGCGTATAGGATAATCAACAAGATTAAGTGATGATTATTCTACCTAATATTCCAAGAATCGTGTGAGGGCGAGGCAGTTCATTCTTATAAATACAGAGTCACGGCACATTGAGGAAGCCCCCACAAAATCAATACAAAATTGCCCTGCGCAAACTCTCACAACTTGTGATTTTTCTTTTTCCTTTTTCGCTGACACATCTTCCGTTGGCATCAACAGCACTGTAGAAGCAACCGGTGATATCTTAAGTCGGCATAGATAGCTCTGTCACCGTAGAGTCAGTCGGTCTCGCAGTATCTTCCGTTGGCATCGACAGCACTGCGGCGAGAACGATTGATTACCTATCCAAGTCTCGGTCGAGAAGGGTTTCTAAATCCTTATTGGTCGAGGTCATCTCATCAGCCTTCTTGGCGAAGTGAGGTGTTACAGTTATTACATTCGGCACATTGAAAGCCGAATTTGATATTGAACTTCGTAAGAATAGTAACCTTGTCTTCAGGTTCGAGAGCCCAAGAGGCAGAGACGTGTTCCTTTCTCGGCCGCAATCGCAAGACGCAGAAGTCAGTAGCGCGACCCAACGCAACATCAACAAATTTACTCCTCGGCCGAGCTTGGCCGACGAGTTGGCACGCCCCGCATTCACCGAAGGACGTAGTTAGCTCATTAATTACTCGGCCTGCGCGCCACGTAGGCTTTGTAGTTTCTAGGATCAACATTTTGGCACGCCCAGTGGGACCTAGTGCTATACTACGAAGTTCATATGCTATATCAAGATTCCAATCTGGCTCAACGTAGCCGATTGTACGAGCTCCTGGAGGAATTGAAAAAACATAATGAGGAATGTAAAAAATCTTTGGAAGCAGAAAAAGTTCTTCGTGGCCATAGAGAGATGCAAAAGTCATTCGCTTGCATGTTGAAAATAAAAGCTCCTGTTATCCTACAAGGGCAATGGGTAAATGAAGACAGGGCTCGATTTAATGCCTGGCTAGATGAAGAAAATTTTCCTTACGTTTCTGACTACAGATCAATTCCATTTGAAAAATGGTTAGGCCCAAAGGCCGGGGGGCAATTTTTCGCTTCGGCCGTAATCAGACATCGGCCTAAGAAAATTGTTAATTTGGCCGAAGAGCCACCTATTTTTTCGGTCGAGACTGAAAGTGTGGTAGGCCTAGAAGAAAAAATTCAAGTTCTTGAGCTAGATATAAAAATTGACTTGGAAAATGATTCGTTAGAGGAATGCTCCAATGACGAACGAGGCCAAGATATTGGCCTAGCCCAAGAAACTACGCCAATTGATATGATTATTGGCAATAAAGCCGATATGGAGAAATCCTGTTTGGCTAAGTTGTTTGAATTAAAAGCCGAAATTATGCCTGGGGGGCATAATAATTGTTCAACACATTCGGCGGCCGAGAATGAAAAATATTTCACCAAGTCAAAAATATTTTGGAAAAATTCTTTATTCGGCCTAGAGCGAAATCAATTTGAAAATTTTGATGCAAAAAGATCGCGGCTTGGAATAAAGCATCGTTGGCCTCCTCCTGAATATGGTTCGGCCACTTTTAGTTCCATTTAGAAAAAAAATATATTTTCTTAATCATCTGGCTACGTAAGCCGATGCTTAAGAAAATAAAGGGGGCACGGGTGATAGGGTGATATAATCAGCATATCAGATTTAAACTTGTCGAAAGTAAGTACATATCAAGGAGCTGTTGCTTGCCGAGAGGGTTTTTTTTTTTAGGCCGACCTCGGCCAACTTGTCGAGAAATATTTTCTAAGTTATGTAGACATAACTTTTGAAACTGGGGTACATTGTGAGATGATGTGGCGTGAATCATTATTTTAGTCATCATTTTTAGCCGGGAACAACTGGTGGCGTGAATCATCGTTGAATATATATATATAGCCTACGACATCACATCAAAATAGGCCAAAAGAAAGATGGCATGCAAAAACAAACGGCAGGTTCAAAAGTTTGATGAAAAGCCACTTATTTTAGGTTGTAGGCTTCCATGTGGGCACACCCTCTTATTCGGCCGAGCCATTCGACGCATGCTATGGGAGGAAACAATTTTCGGCTGTCTAGGCCGAAGCCGAGAGAATCAGAACGATGTTATGGTGGATTTTTAGGCCGAGCTATTCGACGAGTGCTCGCAGCTTGATGGGCAAGTGTATCTATATATATATATGGCCAACTGTTTACCAAGCACGACTAACGTGAGGATCGTTAAGGGTAAAATGGTGGCAGCCGAAAAATCAGCCGAGTCGACAGCATGTGTGGTTGAAATGCATATGGTAAATATATGTTGTTATGCGTGGCTCGGTGGGTGAGGATCATCAAGGGTGCATGGTCGTAGAATCTGCGCAATTAGATTCTACATGCAGTCAAGCTTGAAGATGCATGAGCCAAACCGTAGTTTCGTCGCACAAATTAATTGTATATGCACGATCGGGTTTTATGAGTGTACCTCGACTTCGAGCAAGTAGTTTCCTTTGTTGAGATTGTTTTTCGGCCTTGGAGTGTTATTTGGACTGAGGGGTGGTCGAGGTGGTCTATTAAGGGGCTTGAAGTCGGTGACTCCGAAGAGCAAATTAATTTCCTTAACCATTCGGCTTGCGAGCCGAAGCTCAAGGAAACTGGGGGGCAATGTTTGGACCCAAATTTACACCATCGGCCCAAGTAATCGAGGCCGTTGAGTGAGCATAGCTCTCAACCGTCGGATCGGAATAGTTAAGATAATTATTATTGAAGGATATACTGTGGTTTTAATCATGATATATCTTTTAATAATATATCAATTTATCTAAACTAAATATGATCAATATCACGGTGTTTGTTTGAAATCAAACTTTGCATAGGATAAGGATGAAATTGAAATAGTGATAGGGTCAGAATGGCTTTTGGGATTAGCCAAAGACCTACAAGCTTGCTGTACACGTGGGTTATCATTAGCAATGGCTGATGAGGTGGCGGCTTTTAATTTTGCATGCAGCAAATAAGGAATTCTATTAGGATTCTATCTTTGGCTAACGCATGGAGGAGATGATAATGATTATCTATGGTTCCATGCAATTTAGAAATCTATCAGGATACATGTGATGACTTCCAGCTGGCCAACGAGTGATGAGGGGACAATTATCCTAATGCAATTGCGCGTATAGGATAATCAACAAGATTAAGTAATGATTATTCTACCTAATATTCCAAGAATCGTGTGAGGGCGAGGCAGTTCATTCTTATAAATACAGAGTCACGGCACATTGAGGAAGCCCCCACAAAATCAATACAAAATTGCCCTGCGCAAACTCTCACAACTTGTGATTTTTCTTTTTCCTTTTTCGCTGACACATCTTCCGTTGGCATCAACAGCACTGTGGAAGCAACCGGTGATATCTTAAGTCGGCATAGATAGCTCTGTCACCGTAGAGTCAGTCGGTCTCGCAGTATCTTCCGTTGGCATCGACAGCACTGCGGCGAGAACGATTGATTACCTATCCAAGTCTCGGTCGAGAAGGGTTTCTAAATCCTTATTGGTCGAGGTCATCTCATCAGCCTTCTCGGCGAAGTGAGGTGTTACAGTTATTACATTCGGCACATTGAAAGCCGAATTTGATATTGAACTTCGTAAGAATAGTAATCTTGTCTTCAGGTTCGAGAGCCCAAGAGGCCGAGACGTGTTCCTTTCTCGGCCGCAATTGCAAGACGCAGAAGTCAGTAGCGCGACCCAACGCAACATCAACAAATTTACTCCTCGGCCGAGCTCGGCCGACGAGTTGGCACGCCCCGCATTCACCGAAGGACGTAGTTAGCTCATTAATTACTCGGCCTGCGCGCCACGTAGGCTTTGTAGTTTCTAGGATCAACAGTTATATATAAGTATACTTTATACTGTAATGAAATTTTATATGAATAATATTTCAGTCAAAGAGATACACGAAGATAAAGACAGGTCGAGCAATAAAAGCTCAACCACAAGTGATCAAGTAGTGTATTTTGTGTTTCCCTTCCTCCACTGAGAAGTTTGTGAAATCGCAGGGGTTGGAACACCACTATTGGTTTTGGTATGCTCTGTGTCTCAGTGTATTAAATGCATGTTGCTTTTGTTTCTCAGGAAACAGAGCATTTTTTTGCAACTGTATATTTTGCAATCAGCTCGGTTCAATGTATATAAAAGTTGAACTGCTCATCTTACCGACAGCTTTCATTCATCTATCCTTTTTGTTCATTCATGATTATGTTGAATTTTTTTTCAGATCAATTGTCTTATTCATGTGGTTAAGGCTGGTGCATTTAAGTCCCGTAGCAACGCGCGGACATTTTTGCTAGTCTATTCTAAAGTTCGAAGGGAATTGGCCTGTTAATGGCTACAGTAAAACAAACGCCCCTCGATTTCATCTTATTTGCAAGAAACCCATCTGATATGGGCTGGGTTGGGAGGGTAATTCTCAAAAGGTCAGAGGGTGATTTTGTCCATATGGTTTAGCACAGAGCCACTCGATTTCATGCTATTTACCACATTACCAGCCATATGGGGCTGGGTTGGGAGGGTAATTCTTAAAAGTTCACAGGGTAATTTTGTTCGTTCGGTTTAGCACGGATTGCTGGGTTACAGGCGTGCGCTCTCCTCTCATCTCTCACACTTCCTCTTCCTCTCCTACGCGAGCGCTCTCTCATCTCTCACTTTTCCTGTTTAAGTCCTTCTCAAACCCTAGCAGCCACAACACCATCTCTGAAATAGCATCAGCTCCTGCTTCCTAAAACCAAAACCACACAAACTGGCTTCCATTTCTGTAACTCAAGAGCTTCGGTGAGATGAAGGAGAGGAGCAGGGAGATGGGTTCGAGTCCGCCAACAGCGGAAGAGATCTTCAGGGATTACAGTGCTCCGAGAACCGATGCCGTCCACTCTTTAACTAACGGTACTCCGATCTCTCTCTCTCTTCTCCGTTTCTCTCTTAATTTCCTTTTTGGTTTGTTTGAATTTCTTTTTTGTGATTTTGGATTTACAAATGGATCTTGTGTTCAAATTTCCTTTTTGTGATTTTGGGGATTTTGTTTGTGTTCGCCATTATGCAGCTTAGACCATCACGATTCACCATTATCACCCCAGCCCTGCCGTCGCGGCCACATCACCGCCGTCGAAAACACTACCATACCATCATCCTGCAACAGATTAGGTAATTTCTAAATTAGGGTTTTTTCATTATGTGAATTTCTACCTCGATATGTTCATAAGGTCGAAGGAGGTCTTCCTTTATGGATTTAGTTCATCCTCTATGTTATTTATTTGAGTCACTAACAAATGGGTTTATGTTGTCTGTGAACAGGGAGAGAAAATATAACCATACCTGTGTGGTTGCTCTTCAAATTGGTGCATTATTAACGAATGGATCACGTCAGGTTGTGTTTTCAGTTTATAACCATAAATATTATCCATGTAATTTAAGCTTTGTTGTCAGATGGAAATTGATGTTTAATAGCTGTAGTAAAAGAAATATTGCTTTTGGTCATGTTGGGTGACCTCTCCCCGAGATAATTAGAAAACTCTTTTGAACATGGCTCTTTTAATTTTTGTGTGTGAAGTTCCAATTTTCTTCTCATTTTCATGTGATGAATCATATTAATGTAGAGAATCATATGCAAGACAAATCCCAAACCTTTCTTTCCATCGTCCAGATCGTGTCAAAGGCTGGGCATCAAGCTGCTTTGCCCCTCTCCATCTGATGTTGCCCCCTTGGCAGTTCTATCACTACTGTGAAAGGGCTGGAGCTTTTTGGTGAGCAATCTGCTACTTTACATCCTTTGTCTTTCTATTTGGAGATTCTTATTTTGTTCCTACCATAATTAACACGGTTTATTTGATTACAATTCAGGCGTCAAACTTAGTGATGCTTCATATAAATTGGGGAAAAAAATTGCTACCAGAGCCTCTGTTGTTAAGGTATGATAGATATTATATTGTTTTATCAGTATGCGATGATAAGAAATTTCCTTAACCAATCTTCACTGGAATTTTCTCCGTCATCCTATATATTGCAGCATTAATACATTTGATAAGAAATTTTCAGTTTCTGGTCACTTAAGATGCCAGGAAAATGGACACAATAAATTATCCATGGTCTTTATCATGCTAGCTGAGAATTGGAAAGTGCCTGAAGTTATGAGTTATTAAACTCTTCCTTTTTGTTTGAAATGCAAGTGGTGTTGGACAAATGGGATAAAAGAAATGGTTGTTGCCCTGTGTTTTACTTTGTTGGTTGGCAAGAAGCATGTTCATTGATTCAATTTATTCTTTTACTTTCCATGACAAAGCAGTCCTTTGCAGTCCTTTGGTATCAAGGTGTTTTTTTTTTTGAATCTGGTGCGCTATGTGCAATTGCATATGTGTGAGAGCCCTTTTAAATTAGACGCACTACTCGCTTCTTACGGATTTTATAATGTCAGATTCTCATTCGGTTGCTGTTTTAAATTTGGGCTTTCATTTGGTAGAGCATCCTTCTCTCCAAAAGGTAACATTGTTTCTAATGCCTATCAAATTTTGATTTCATAGGTCATTACAATTTATGTAGTTTTGTAAAGAGAAATTGTTTACAAGCGCAAACATCTGCCAGATTTTATTTTGAAGTCCGAATATGCCTATAGAACCATATAATTATGGGAGCGAACCAGTGCGCCGATCAAAGACGTTAAGGCTGCTCTCATTGATAGCAATTGGGACATTGGTCAGAACCCCTTTCTTCCCATTTTTGTTTATGCTAATTTGAATCAGTTATGTGTTTATATAAATATTTTTTGAATCCTTATCAAAGTTGGTTTCTTTAATGAAATGCAGAGGCTGCTCAGAAGGAATTGAGGAGGAATTTTGGCGTCGAAAAAGTCATCTCGGATGGCTGCTGGCTCTGGCTCAAAATGAGAACAAGGCTGCTATTATTGAACTTAACTGTGAGACTGACTTTGTTGCTCGATATCTTTCAATACTTGGTAAGTGTGACTGATATGATTCCTCCATATTTTTTTAGTTCTATTTGATTAGTTGCTATTATAAGTATATGGTTGCGTACTTAATTTCAGTCGTCCTTTTTCCCCTTATTTCTTCTTCCTCTGCTTCGCTTTTGCTGCTGCTTCTTCTTCTTCCCCCTTTTGGTTCCCCCTCTCTTGCTTTATTGTTTCTGATATTTTCTCTCTTGCTCTCTTCAAAATCGCACAACAGTCTTTGGAGTTGGAGGCTTTTGCCTCTGTTGGGTTTTTTTCCAATAACTTAAATGGCCTAAAGGTATTCCCTTTTCATATTCTTCTCTCCCAATTTCTTTAGGGTTAATTTCAATTTTCTTATGCTATTTGTAGTGGTGCTTTTTAGGGTTTAACTATTTGATTTCACATTCATTACAGACACAGTAAATAGGTACATTTTAAATTCATATTTCATAACTTGGTTGCTTGATTCTACTGCCACTGTTCATTGGCTTCTCCTACGAGATAGCAGGGGTATGCAGAGATCATTATAGATGGGGTTTTTATTTTTATTTTAATATCTTTTACATAATGCTCTTAAATTTCAACATCTTATTTATAACAATGTTGCCAAAATGCATTCTGATTATCAGGTATATCACTATGGAAGAACTAGAGCAAGTCCTCCACGAATATGGCTTACATGGTGAATTTTAATATTTCCAGGTACACCCATATCTATATCCTAAACAAATGTTATTATGTATCAATTTGTTAGAGTCAACAAATGTTAAAGTCAATTTATATTATTTATTATTTGCTTTCCAGGTACAACCATATCTCACTCTCTTTGGTACTCTCTCTCTCTCCTCTCTCTCTCTAAAATCTCTGTTGGGTTTCTACCAATATGTCAATTTGTATAATTTATTTTCTCTCATGTAGAGCCATTTTATGGTACAATGTGTTTATCGGTTCTCATGTCTAAATTTTTCTTTCTACTTTCAATTAAGTTTTGCATTACTTTAGTCTAAAGTAGGAGGGGAAATCGCACTATTCATATGAACAGTGTTTTGTAAGACATTTCAGTTTATTTACAAGATTGCCACTCGGATACTTTTAACCACCTTTCTCTTTATTAACAAAAAAGCCACTCAGCCTTAAGACCCGATTTTCACCCGTGCTTCAGCCAAAACAGGTGCTCTCTCCAATTTTCATCTCTTCCATACTCAAACCCTAGCCGCTCCACCTACAACTCAAAACCTCGACAAAACACAATTCCCCTTCTGCAAAAGCTCGAGAGTTTTCTCTCTTTGAGAATTAAAAAGTGTTAGAAACAGGTGATTTTCTGATTTTCGTCTCCCCTTTTCTCTTTCCTTCTTGGGCACAAATTAAGCGTTTATGCTAATAGTACTTATGGTTCCCTAAATTGCAAGTGCTTCCATTGGAATCGACTCACCAAGAGCCCTTCTCTCTGCCTGATCCCATTCCTCAATGGCATGTAGGTATGAAAAATACTACTGCAAAAGCTTTCATATTTTTTGGATTTTCTTTTCCTTTTTGAAAATTATGGTCTGGGTTTTTATTTATTTTTTAGCTGATTTGATTAGTATTTAGATTATTTATGGATTTTGGATTAATGGGTTTGCCGATTGTGCTGAATGCAAGCAGTTGTGGCTATGAAAGTTTGCTTTATTTGGTTATAGCATATATATTCGAAGCAACAAGAAGAATTGGATACGTGGCTTCGAAGAATTGGATACGTGAGGCGATGTGTTGTCTGTTGTATCTCAGGTTGCATTATTTTTGTTATTATGTATATTCTTGATTCGTGATTGTAGATGAAGATGGCTGATATTGATACACACTATCTATCTGTTTTTGGTTTTCCGTTTATTTAATTTGGATAGGGTTTTGGAAAATTATCTTTGGTTGCTTCATCGGCGGCTCAGTCAGCTGCAAGTGTAGTCCAGGCAGGCAGGCACAAAAGAGATTACTACTAAGGTATTTTTCTATTCATTCTTAAATTTGTTAGATGCTAGACGATTGCTTTGCTACTGCCAGGCATTTATATTTGGATATTAGATAGGTGGTGTTACCATTTACAAAACATATTGAGGACGTGAGGGTGAGTATTCTGAATTTGGACACATTATGCTAATGGTGTCATTAATGTAATCCCGTCTTTTGGACACATTATTATAATGGTAATCTCATCATGCTTGATTACCATTCTTTCTTCATGTCATTATTTTCAAAGCATTAGCATATTAGATAGGTGGTGTTAGCACAGAATCCCATATGTATCTTAGACTGTACTATTAATATCATGATCTGAACATAAGGGATTAGCACAATAATTATACTCAGTAATCATGTTATGCATGAATCAAGGCCTGTACTATTAACTTCCAATGGTTGATGAATTGGGAATTTGTTCATCGAATTGGGTTTTCTGGAGTTTAAGTTCTTGGATCGATTCGACATTTCAAATGAACTTCTGACCTACTAACCTTGATGGAGGGGCAGAGGATGAAGAAAATTGCGGGCAATGAACCTCTAACTCTCTAATTCTTTAACATGAATTAGCATATTTCATTCCCTCAAAATTAATTGCAAGGCTGCACTCAAAATGGGTTAAATGTTGAGCTCTGACTCTCTAATACTTTCACATGAATGAGCTCTAACTCTCTGATGTTTGTTGATAAGTTTTTGGGTTAATTTTACATTTTAAATGTTTTCCTCTAATTTGAATGATTAATTGTTGAACTTTTCTTTCCTCCAAATCCTCATGTTTTCACATCGACAAGCCAAAAGAAATCGAAGATGCAAAACTGGTAATTGAAGCTTTAAGAAGTAAAGGTATTTCTGCAATTGGTGTTGTAGGCTTTTGTTGAGGTGGTGAGTTCATGTTCCTGCTCTCCATTCTATTTCCTGGTTTATTAGTATAACTCCAGTTTAATAATGTCTCATATGAGGAAGTGCTTATTTTCCTGCTCAATTCATTATGGCATAGGTTTTCATATAACCTTGAATTATGTATGCTGTTTCTAGGCAATGCTTGCGCGATGTTATCAAAATATTATGCGTAAAGTATGTAGGGTGGCAATCTATTGGCAATATATTCCAAAAATAATAACTGAACGTTTTTCAGTTGCCTTATGCATATATTATCTTTCACCCCTCATATGCAACTGAGACCTATTGACCCTTATGGGGCTGGGTATATATGTGTTCTTTTTTGGAATTAATACCATGATTTATTAGGTACATGGATTGTTCCCCCCCCCCCCCCCCCTGTCATGAAGACAATGGTATGTGGGATTTGTAATCACACTTGAAACATCACTAAAAAATTATCCCCATTACGTTTCGATGAGACCGAATCTGTGTGTTTTAAGTTCTCAAGAAAAAAGATTAACTGAAAAATTAAAATAGTCCGCATTTATATCCATATCGAAATTCCAAAGAATGTGTGTTGTATTATTGTCATAGCTTTCTGATTAAAGAGATATCAGAGAGTAAGTATGAGATAATGTGAATAATTAGAGGAAGTTAAAGACATCTTTGCAAGTAAGCAAAGATCTGACCTTGAGATATTTGGGTTTTAACAAAGAGTTTAGAGAGAGAGAGAGGAATAGTATCATATTTGATATGGTAATGGCCGCATCCCAATTGTTTGTACGCTAATATTACTTTAGTCTAAAGAAGGATCCTAAATTGCTTTGGCTGCTGAAGCCAATTCCAAAGAGGGCGATGTCTTCTACTTGCTTACCCAAATGTTTCAATTTTTTGCATTCTTTTGGGTTTTTTTTTAATTTATTTATGAAATTTGATGACTATTTTTAAATAATTAGAAATTAGTTCTTCGCTGTGAAATGTTCATTTTTGGGAGTTTCTGTTAAAACAATGTAATCTTAATCTTCTGTCAAATGGGCTGTAATTTCATATGTTTTAATGTAAACTGTTCACTGATTATGGTTGTAGTGGGTTGGTCTGAATTGCAAAATTATTAAGGTAGAACATGCTAAATTTGGCAAGTTCTGTTATGAATTTTGTATGAGTATCTGCTGGGGTTGGGTGGATGAAGATAACATGCTAAATTTTGCCTTTGGTGTGCTTAAACTGGTACGGGGGATGGTTAGAATTTTGAACCCGGAATGCAGTGGGACTAAGAGAAATGCCCTACCCACTGGGGTTATCGACCACTTGCTGAATTGTTGTTAAAATAACACTGCTAAAAATTTGAGCTTTACTTCTTGCACTTTGTTTTTACTGTGAAGTGGAAATAGTCTTTAGAGTGGCTTATTTGTGATAATTGATAAAGAGGTTCTGTTTAAGACTTGAGAGTTGTGCGGTTTCTTTCTTGCAGGTCCTGCTCACACCAACTCATCTAGCCATTGTGATGGAGTACGCGGCTGGGTGATAACTTTTCGAGAGAATATGCAGTGCTGGCAGATTTAGTGAGGATGAGGTTAAGTAGTTTCAAAGGCAGAGAAAATTTCATTGTAAATGTTTTTGGCGTAGAGTCTGAAATATGGGATCTCTGAATGTCCCCTGAAATGGAATCCATTTCGATTTTCGTTTCAGATAGGGAAAGTTAGGTCTGAAGCATATTTTTACATAACAGTCGGTCATAATATAACTAAAACTTCCATACTTTTTCGATTTAATTGTTGTTTTGCATCGGGCAAGGTTTTTCTTCCGGCAGTTGATATCAGGAGTTGGTTACTGTCATTTGATGGTATGTAATGTGGCAGTTTTATGCTAATGCGTCGTATACTGTTATTTGTTTCTCTTTTGATATTGGAAGTGTTGGTTGTAGCATACGACTTAGTTTCAATAGCATACGACTTAGTTTCAATAGTATAGACTCGGTTTTTGAATAACACTCTGGTGGTTTTCGATTACAACTAAGTTTTCTAAATGCCAATTACAGCTCTAACGAGGATGGAGAAGCCATCTTGGAATTTGTCCCTGCATTCTTAGTATAGACTCACTTAATTATAAATAACACTTACATGTGCTTATTTCACTTTATTAATTTTTGCATTCCAATTGTTCTTTATCTATGGCGATAACTGTCTGAGAACGAAACAAAGTAAAATTCCGTTCTTGGCTCTCTTTTTCTTTAATGTAGCATCTGTTTACCTGTTAATGTAAATTTGGGTTATGTTGGATTTTTCAATTTGATTCTTCAAAATCTCGCCATTGCCCGCTCTCATTTCCCCAATTCATCTCTGCTCTCTCTCTCTTTTTTTTCTCAGATCCCATAACTCTCTAACATGAAAAATAGATCTCCAAAATGAAAAGAGTTGGCCTTCTCCCTCTCGGAACTCATCCCCATTTCACAGCAACTCCTTCCTCCCATTTATTGTTTTTCTCATTTCTTTCGAATCCCATGTCTCTGTAAAACGAAAAATACCTCTTTCCCCCACATTTTTTCTCCTTTCCACAACTGCTTCTTCATCCTCGCTAAACGTGGCATCCGTGCTGCAACTAACAGCCCAGCTATCTACACACCTCCGTGTTTCTCGAACACAACCATGGTGACAGGAGTGGAAAAACTGAGATGCAAGAAGGTAAATCCCTCACAAATCTTTTGGGTTCAGTTTCGGAGTTATGTGTATGAGTGAACTGCAATGAGATCTAACACATGCATGTCATTTCAGCTGTGTGAGGACCCCCAAGAGTTGCAAATCCGAGCCGACCTACACCACGCGCCTATCTCTACGGAAACCCGAAACCCTTCAACTTCTGCCATGGAAATGTGAAGGTAAAATATGTGCATCTGTTTAACGTTACTCGAGCAGCTCCATATGATGGGTTTTATGTCTCAGATACGCCATACTGCATGTGTATACTGATGTTTATTTCGTTTGTGGGCACAGGTCCTCGATCTGGAAGCCTAACCATGACAAGAAAAATGAAAACCAACTACAATGTAGATCCGGTTCCTGCAAAAGGTAAAAATCTTGTACTCCGTAGGTTAATGAACCCCATGTTGTAAGAAAATAGCTTCATCACCTCTGCATGTAATTATAATGGTGTGGTATTTGTGCACAACACTCAGATCCGTGACAGATCCGAGAAAGATAAATCTCAGCTGAAAATCCACTGGACAGAAAGCATGACACAGCTTAAAAATCGTGACCTATTGATTATGAAGGTATAAGCTCAGCCCTGCTCTGATTTACATGTCATGATTAATTTCGTCCATGGGTCTGTGAAAAATGTTAACAAAAACCATATGTATATGCGGTTTTGAACATGCATCGAACTAACAACATTCAGACTAACATGTATATGATGAAAGTGGACTTGAAATGCGTGAGACTCAACGAAGACTAAATGACCACGAAAACTATGGACCCTAAAACGCAAAAGACCTCATATCTGATGAACAAATAACAAAATGAATAAAACTGGCAGACCTAGAATGAATGTCACAATGTTGTGTGTTTAAAGTGATATAGAACATGGATCATGGAAAGCAAAGTGTCATTAGTCTATCTGTAGTAAATTGTGCAGGACGACAATCTGATCCCGGAACAAAGGAAGGAAACAGGACAGCTCAGACATCACAGATCCACCTCCTATACGAAGGTAAAACTAGTCCGGGTTGTGATGTGTCTTGATATGTAAAAATGATATTTATGTCCCAGCATGGTTTCATTGTGTTGCTCTGTGCTGTAGGGAATGCAGATTCATGATAGAGCCCATGGGAAGGAAAGTGGATGGACAAACATCAGCTTCAATAGACAAAAACGACACAAGCTTCCAAGAGCCCAGATCGGTGAATCTGGGAGGTAAAATTCCATAGCCTTGCAAGTTGAATTGTTGTAGATCTGGTAATAATAGCTGTACTCAGTTCTGTGGTGTATGGATATGTGATTTAACTGTGGTTCTCCTCCATGCATCGCAAAACTGAGCTGCAGAAAATTAACTGCTCAAAATTATGTCTCTGTGCTGGATCTGCAACAATCTCCCCCAAACTTGCATATGTGAATGACTTGTTATGTTGACTGCTTTAAATTTCCAGCATAGTGTAGATGTGGTTGATGTGAACGTTAGACTTGCTGCTGGGTGCAGGATTCCAGCATAGGACGCGCTTTATTTTCCACGTTCGCAACCTGCAATTAACCAATATGCGTCAAAAAATTAAAATAAAATCAAATAAACTGGGTAAATAAAATCAACTTGCAATCTTCCATTTTTTTGAATTTTTCGTTTTTTTTTCTTTTTAATTTTTTTAATTTATTATTATTATATATATAAATATATTTTTTTTTTCTTTGTTGGTGAAAATCAAACGAAAATTAAAATGAGGAAAAAGTTTAGAAAAATTGGGTTGCCTCCCAATTAGCGCTTTATTTTAAGTTTGTAGCTAGACTTTGCTGAAGTTCGGTGGCTAGATCACTGGTTCCTTCAAAGTTGATGACTCGCCTACACCAAATTTCTCTATGCATGGTTTTAGTTGATGTTTGGTCACCTTCAATGAGAAATCTGTGCCCTTAGCCTTAATGTCCACTTTACCATTCTGAAAAACTTTAGTAACTAGAAAAGGGCCTCTCCATCGAGACTCTTGTTTCCCTGGAAATGACTTGAAATCTGAACTTAATAACCACACTTTTTTACCAGGCTGTATTTTCTTAAAATTTGGGCTGCTTGGCAAATTTTCATGTTTTTTCATAGTGTTAATTGGCTGGTCTTCATGTAGCACCATTTGCTGCTGTGGTTTAGGACTTGTACAATCACGAGTTAAATTCGGGGACTTTATGGACAGATGGTCAGTTGATGATTTGTTCATAAACTTGGCACTTGGTAAACCATCCAATGCATCAACACGCATGCATTCTTGCTTGTCACCTGAATGTATGCTTGCTTCAAACAACTTGAAAACAACAGTTTGATCTTCAACCCGGAATGTTAATGTTCCGGCTTCAACGTCAATAAGAGTCCAGGCTGTTGCCAGAAATGGGCGGCCCAAAATAATGGGCGTTGTCAAATCCTCATCCATGCCCAAAATAATGTTGCCGGTAAATATAAATTGTCAACCTTCACAATAACATCTTCAATGACTTCTCTAGGGTAGGTAATTGAACGGTCAGCCAATTGAATAATACTGGAGGTTGGCTTCAGCTCACCTTCACCTAAACGTTTGAAAACAAAATATGGCATTAAGTTTACACTAGCACCTAAATCAATTAAAGCACTACTAAAATCACAATTTCCAATGGTGCAAGAGATAGTAAAACTCCCTAGATCTTTTTTCTTTGGAGGCAATTTATGTAATAAGACCGCACTGCATTGTTCTGTAAGAATCACTTTTTCAAAATCAACAAGCTTCTTTTTCTTTGTGCAAACATCCTTCAAACATTTGGCATAAGATGGAATGTTCTTGATGATTGCATCAATTAATGGTAGATTAATTTGAACTTTAGCCAAAGTTTTCATAAAATCTGTTAACTGTTGATCTTTAGCTTTAGGTCTCAACCTTTCTGGATAAGGCATAGGGGGCTCGTAAACACGTTCTGCAGTTTTTGTGGAAGCTTCTGCAGTATTTTCGTATCTGTCTTGGGACTGCCTAGAATCTGCAGAAATTTCAGAATCTGCAAAAATTGCAGATTTAGTTTGGGGTAGTTCTGCTGCCTGCGAATTCCCAACAGGATTTTCATGTCTGTTGTTGTAACTTTTGCCAAACCGTAGAGTCCGTATAGCATTGCATTCTTCTCGTCCTCTTGGATTAGGTACTGTTTGACTAGGAAATGTACCCGGAGCTCTTTCTGAAACCTGTAAAGCAATCTGCCCCATTTGTTTTTCCATGTTTTTCACTGCTGCCTGTAGATTTTGAATTTCTTGAGTGGTAGTATTTGCCAATTTTTCAATTGCAACCTCCCAAGCAGCCTTAGGTGCAGCAGGTTGCTGTACCTGCTGATGAAATTGAGGCCTAGTGTGCTGTTCCTTGTCCCACCTTAGATTAGGATGATCTCTCCAACCTGGGTTGTAGAAATTAGAATACGGGTCATATCTGGGACGTGGAAAATTATTAAATGAATTAACCTGCTCCGCTATAAACTCCGGATAAGCATCTTTATGTGGACAGCTCAAAAAATCATGATTTGTCAAGCTGCAAATGCTGCAGGCAGCTTGTAAAGGCTGCTATACAGTAACCTGTGAACCCGAAATTCTTTGTAATAACATGTCAAATTTTGCATTAAATCTTTCAAGCTTTTTCTCCATTTTTTCAATTTGTGCCGACACGTATGGTGAACCATTTGACATCTCAAAAACAGACCTAGATTGTGGCTGCTCAACTGCCCACTGCTGAGTATCTGCTGCCATTTTTTCAAATAACAAACAAGCCTCTTGTGCATTTTTATCTTTGTATGAACCTCCGCATAAAGCGTTGACAAGTGTTTTTGTAGTCATATTCAACCCTCTGAAAAATATGTGCATTTGATCAGTAGTGTTAATACCTGAATGTGGACATTTTCTAATCAGCTCTTTAAACCGCTCCCACGCCTCGTGAAACTCTTCATTTGGTTTTTGGGCAAACAATAAAATTTGAGTTCTCATATCAAGAGTCTTAGAAGCTGGATAATACTTGTTTAAAATTTTTTCACTGAGTTGGGCCCAAGTTGTAATGCTTCCAGATGGGAGTGTGAGGAGCCATCTCTTTGCCTGATCTTTTAGAGTGTATGGAAACAACCGCAGCTTAATAGATTCGGCTGAAAATCCCCTCACCAAAATGTTTTTGCACCCCATTAAAAATTCTGCAATGTGCATGTTAGGATCATCAAATGATAACCCATGAAACGTAGGTAGAATATTCAACATGTGCTGTTTTATTTCAAATGCAGTACCTTCCTCCACTGCCGGATAAGTAATGCAACTTGGTATATTTGTTGTATGGGCTGTCAGTGAATCACCCAGGGGTAGACCTGCCTCTGGAATTACAAACGCCATTTTATCTTTGTTGTGCAGGTTCCCAGAATTTAAAGATTGTAGACAAGTTACCTGCAGAGGAGGAACCCTCTACAAAGTTCGCTCCCTGCGTTTTCTCCTTAAATTCTGCTCAAGTTCTGGATCAAATGGAATCAATTTCTGCACTGTTGAACGGGTGCTGACCATGCACAGATTTCTGAAATCTGTACTGTTGTACTGTTGTAATCTGTAAAAATAAAATGAAAACGAAAATTAAATATTTTTTTATATGTATAAACAGCAATAACTAATTGAAAATCTGATTCGTAGGGATTATTTTAAATAATCCCCGGCAACGGCGCCATTTTCTTAATAGGATTTTTACTACTCATGTGAACGGGCTTAAATCTCCTATTTTACTTGCAAGAATCACAAGGTTATTGTAGTATAAACGGATTTCGCAAGGTCGTCTCCACAGGGATTATTAAATAATTCGAACTAATCAGATTCCATTTAATTATTGTAAAGTAGAAATTGAAGTGATTGATTTTATAACCTAATTAAAATAAAAACGAAATTAATGAATTAAAATAAACAATCTGCAATATTAGAGCTAGAGAAAAGAAAACAGTTTTGGGAGAATAAAATTAAGAAAGCACTAGGGTTCCACCATCACCTAGCAATCCTATGAATTTTTACCCATTACTTATGATCTATACATGCCACTTTGAAGGTTAGATTTTCCTAATTCATATTCTACTTGGACCCTCCAACATAGAACGTATATCTAACATGCAACCCGTCTGGACGTTCGGATCAAATCTGAACATGAAAGACTCATTATGCTTTATGAAAATCCTTTGAAAAACCATGCAATCCTTAAGATGTGATATTCATCCTAAGTGAAATTACAATTATTAATCACAAGAAGCCAGTGTCAATTTCAGGGAACCTTCCGACCAAAATTGCATCAAATTACTTTTCTAAAGATCCTAATGGTGATCAGGCATTAAGACAATTAGATAGTTTTTATCCCGATGATTAACAATTCAAAATACGCATGCAATCAATCATAAGCAATTAAATAAAAATCACATATTCATGCTAAGGCTCAAGGTTTCGCCCTAGCAAAAGAAATTAGTTCCGCATATTCATAATTGGAATCGTAGAAAATATTATTAAGAAAAGGATTGAAAACACCTTCAAGTAGAAAATCTCCAAAACCCTAGCACTTCTCTCTGTCTCCAAAATTGCATAAAAGAAAGCGTTCCCAAAAACTGTAGATGGCTAAGCAATATATTTGCTAAGCCTCCAACACAAACCCTAGGAAACTAAAATTAATTTAAATCCCCCTAAAACTTAGGAAACATAACCCTAAATTAAATGATAAAATTTGTCTAAAAGCTGAACAACCACGTTTTGACCCATAAGCTGCTCCAAAACTGGCCAAATATAGCTGGATCTAATGTTTGGAATATTCTGAACACTTTTCCAGAAGACCACGAACCCATCTGATGTCATCTTGGGCTCCAAAAACGCAATTTAAGCCCAAAAACGTCATTTTCCAGCACTGCGCACTGCTTCTTTATTTTATCGCCAGAAAATAACCACTTGGTGGAAAATCCCAAATTTTGATACGATCAAGCTAAGTGACTCACGAATGTCCTCCAACTAGAATTACTCCAAAATTCGTCCATTTGATCCTGTTTTGCTCCAGAGGAAGTCGAAAGTCCTATATTGAAAATACAATTCAAAGTATCAAAATTCTTCCAATATATTAACCAAAATATACTAAGATTAGGGTAAAATATATAATATAAAATATACTCATCATTACGCTTACATCACGTCTTCATTTTGTTTTGAATTTTTTATATAAAAAAAAAAACAAAAACAAAAACAAAAATATGAGAGGAGGAGATCAAAAAAGATAGTAGTAGAAAGGAAGAGAATCCTAATTCCTATCCCATAAATAAAACAAGACGATTCCAACAACATACATACCACGTACCGTAAGTTGTACAAACCAGACGGTCTTGTTTATAAAAATCAAGTAGATGATCTAGTCACATAAATACAAAGGGTGAGCTGTATAAAGGTATTTATGATAAATATGGTCAATCCCTTATCTTCTAAGGTTTAGAGAAAATTTTTAATATATTTAATATACAAGCACATACATCATATGTTACTATTCAAATAAAGGAGCACTTAAATAAATAATTTTTTTTGTCTTCACTTATATAATTATAGGCCTATCGTTCCCATGTTACGGGAACATTAGAAGATCTCTCCAAAGTTTGATTGGGACCGTCAGACGAGACGTGGATAAATTCCTGTAATGCTACACGTATCTTATATTTGATGATAATTTATTTACCATCCTACCTCTTCTATGTTTTTTTTTTTTTTTCATAATTACAAGTAGCCGCCCACTGCGATGCAATACGCATGTGGTCGTGGTGGTGGTCTCTGCAGAGATTATGGTTGTTGATATTTTAGATTATGTGATGCTTCTTTTTCTGGCTTGTTGACTTCTTGTTTTTGTTCTACAGAGTACAGACATAATATTGATTTTTCTCGAGTAAAACTTGACCTCGTCATCACGTTTATGGCTGTCCCTTGTTAATTTTTAATCGTTTTAATAAAACTTTATTCGTCTCAAAAGAAAAGAAACGAATTTAAATAGTTCTCTAAGAATGAAAATATAAAGATGAAGGAAAAAAATAAAGAATATAAAGCAATTTGTGGATTGTTCTTGAATCTTGTGATCAACATTTTTCAATCATTGCGTTCTGATCAATCTTTATTTTCTTTATAATTTGGAACTTAGTGTAGTAATTGCGTTCTACGTAAATAAATAGAAGATACTTTGAATGCGGTCTTTAATCCTTAATATTTTTTTATTAAAACTTTAATAGTATTCAAAGTTTGATCAGGTCCTTTGACTTTGTACACATCATTATATTAATATTAATATTTATATTTTTGACATTAATTGTTTGATATTTTATGAGATTTATAATCCTATAAATTTAAAATCTCTCATTATAATACTATTAGAAACGGTTACAATAAAAAAAATTTAAACATTTTGATTGAATAAATGGATAAAAACTATGTAAAAATAAGAAATAATAAATGGCAAAAAAATGTATTCATAGTGTTAAAAAAAATTGGTACATTTCACATATAACAAAGTGGTACATTAATAAAGAAGAATGGGTACATTATAAATAAATTAGGGTACAAATAAAAGATTAAAAAATTATGAGTACAAATGAATTTTTAAAAAATATGGGCGCTAAAAGAAATTAATACACTGGTACAAAATAAAACTAAAAAGAAAATACTACAAATTTAAAAAAAATGTTGCAAATTAAAAGTTGGTACAAACTAAAAATATAAATATATGATACAAAGTTTAAGCATAAAACATAAATATACCATATGTAATTTTTCTATCATTGATTAAATATACAATGTCACATGACGGTGTACACATGGATACAAACACAAATAAAACTTTAAAAAATATGGGCACAAAAAGAAACTAATATATGGGTACAAATTAAAAATGAAAAGAAATTGGTACAAATTAAAAAATATTTGCAAATTAAAAAAAGGTACAAACTAAAAATAAAAATATATGATAAAAAAATTTAGCAATAAATATAAATATACTAATTGTAACATTTTTAACACTAAAGGAATATATTTTAAAAATAAAAATATTTTATTATTCAAATAATTAATGATGTTATTAATACCCAAGGACCTTCATCAAAAATTGAAAATGAATAGGATTTTAATCAATGGAATAACAAAAAAAGGATGTGAACATAATTTCTCCTAAATAAAAAATACAAGAAAGTTGAAAGTTATGGATTAAAAGAATAGGGAAAACTGTCATTTTTCCCCTTAAACTATCACCCTATTATCAATTTACCCCCTAAACTATTTTTTCAGCCAATTAACCCCCTGAACTATATATAATGTGCCAATTTACAGTTTACCGTCAAACTTTTAAACTTCCTTAAAATTCTGTTAAAAAAAATCAATTCTTTAATTTAAAAAAGAAGATCACTTTTAACTATTAAAGTAAAAAAATACTAAAACTTGAAAAGAAAATAAAAGGAGACCCTATTCTCCAGCCCACATTCCTTTAACCCAGCAATTCCATATCCTTTCCTGCCCGAACTCTACCCCCACCCAACCCGCCACCTTCATCACGATTCTCTCTCTCTTTCTCTCCCTCTCTAAAAAAATTGTAGGGTTAGCGGTAGATTTGAAGTCCATATTCGGGCAACCCAAGGTGGAGGGGCGGCTTACGATTCAACTACACCGCACCGATTCCGATTCAACTCCATCGAGGCAGTTCCGATTCTGCCATGCCACCATTGCTGATCCTTTGCACCTCAGAATCCACATCACTGATTCCACTCCAATCACTGGAAGTCTGGGAGGCCTCTCTCTCTCTCTCTCTCTCTCTCTCTCTCTCTCTCTCTGAACCAATCCTCTATTTGCTATTTGCAAGGGTTTTTTTCTTTTTTTTTTTTTTGGTTTTTTATTAATTTCTTTATTTTTTTTATTAATTACTATTTTGCGTTGGAAATGACAAAATCACCCTTATTTTTAACATCTAAATGGATGGTATTTAACAAATTTAACAGTAAGGAGTACATTGGCCAATTTTTATAGTTCAGGGAGTAAATTGGCTGAAAAAATAATTTAGGGGGTAAATTGACAATAGGGTGATAGTTTAAGGGGGAAATGACAGTTTACCCAAAAGAATATTTGACGGCAAATATTGACCAATTTAGTAAGAACCATAACGGGATAGCTTAACCGACCGATACCGATGTAGGTTGCCGTGCATGCAAGTTACAGTTGAGTTGAGTGTGATTGGTCTCCACATTTCCTGCAGAGGGCATGTTTGGCTACACCTGGTGTCAAGTATCTCCTACCTCCCACGTTCAATATGTCTGAGAAACAAGCAAATTCTTCATTCCTTTGGATTTGTTTCCTTTTCCCACCAGTTAGTCACATGATCAAATCCCCCAGAGTCTGCTACGACTTCACCTAATGCATGCATTTCAGATTCTGCAAGGTGCCACTTGTCATCGCACGATGGGATATTGTCAAAGCTCACCACCACCTTTGACATAAAACAATTAATTAAATTATAAGTCGAGAAGCAATTTTACCAACTGCAAAGCAAAGTGGAGGCGACTGATCGTGTGCAGTAACAGCGACGACGATGATCATATGGGGAAGACTGGCAAAACCCAAATTGTGGAAAATGGCCCCCAAGTGACGTCGTTGAATATGTTTATGACATTGATCCTTGTAGAATGGTGAAGCATTTCAAGAATGTTGATTTTGCAGTTGTTGACTGCAAGGTTGAAGATCACTTGAAACTTTTGAAGGTTATGAACCTCAACCCAAATGGGAACACAGTGGTAGAAAACAATATTGGTGAGACTATTAATGGAGGCCCATTTATCGATCAAGTTTTCAAGGAAAAGCCAGGATTCAAATATGTGACCTTACCTTTAGGAGATGGAATCGAGTTCACAAGATTTAACCACTGCTGGTACTCCACTTTCATCCCTCACTCACTGTAACATGATAAATCAAAGTCACTCAAAGATGAAAACCCCTCAAAATAGGCACACATATAATCAGTATAAGGAGATATATTTTTTGCTCAAAGAATAACTGAAGAAAAAAAAAAGGAAACAACCAGAGCAAAATTTCAAAACATGACCAAATCCGTGTAGAATTAAAACAAGCAGCAGGATTTGGTGACAGTTTCAATATGAATCACATAATACTTCTTATAACTCAATTATCGACTATGTCTTCTTCCAATTCTAGTCATTTAGTAGATTGTTCAAGTTAGCCATAGTTGAACGCTTAGTGTGCGTAGTACAATAAGGAACTAACATGAACACCAAAAGAGCAGAAAGGCTAGCTTAGCTTAATACCTTTAGAAAAGGCTGACTGCTTCGCTCGCATGCATACTGAATCTACCACTTCAACCTGTTTCCGAGCCAAGTATTTCTATCCACTCCTGTAAAACAGAACAAACCAATAGATTGCGTATAGGCGCACTGTCTATTCAGTTTTTCCAGAGCCTATAAACTACAATGTCAATACTGGAAAGAAAAATATTTTCTACCAGATGAAAACAAAAGTATCCTCACAAAAACAACTTACATTGATCCGGGTGCTCTGCATCCAAAAACTGAACCCCGTAAAATTCACTCAACTGTCACTTGATCCTTTTGTTCATTAGACTGTATTAAAATAGATTTCATTTACCAAAACTAAGGTCAGCAATTGCATGATCATAAAAGCACAAAACAATAAATTTGACAGCAATAATTCAAACAAAAAACACCATGTAAACAAGCTACGATGTCAAAAGAGAATTAGAAAACACCTCATTTAGTAATAGGTAAATCAAAGTCAAATTGCGGGTTGAGCAGACTAATAATGGAAACATTTGTACTTAAGCATTTCAATAGAACTTCACAACTTCATAACTTGAAAGCTGTAAAAATATTAACTGTTGATAATAAAACATGACATGAAATGAACTTCATTAATAATGGATGACAACGGAATGTAACAAGATGTACCTCTACTTGAACTGACTTTTTAGCATTTAAAGGTTTTTATGCTGAATGTAACTTAATTGAGAATTGGCCAAGGAATATTAACTTCAAATGACAGTTCATTCAGATATAAGTGATTGAAAGTAACAAGATGTACCACTTGTTAATTGTTATCCTTCATCACATGGCATCCACCTGTAGCAAGCCAAAACATGAATAAAAATCCAAAACATTATGAGTAGGATGACACAATGCTCATTAAAGAAAAAGGATATCAAAAGAAGCCGAAACAATGAACTTCTTCAAAAAGCCCTAAAAACAAATCAAATTATGACAGTTTTAGCTGCTTTTCTTGCATTGTCAACAAGCTTTCAGTTGAAAACTCTCTCTAAAAATGGTGTGGACCACCAGTAGGCAATTGAAACGAATATTTGCACCTAACAACAAGTGATCCGGTCAATATATATTAAAAGGAATATACTATTTCCCACCTTTCTAGTATGAAAATTGCAGCTTAAACCCTTATAGAATAAACAAGAAACTCTGTCAAATAAAACACAGCAACTTAAACTGAAAAAAAAATTAAAAAAAATAAAAAAAATAAAAAAAACCCCAAAACAGCAGACAGGCAGAAATTGAGAGCTTATTAAATAAGATGGATGTCAAGACTAATACAAACTTCAAATCAAACCAATTCAACGTCAATCTGATCATCCGCACATATATGAAGAAATTAGAAAGCTTACTGAATAAAACAAGAGGCAAAAATGAGAATACTCATATGAGCATACTTTACTTGCAAAAGTTATCTGCAACGTTGCTGCAACTATAGGACAACTCCAATTTCTTTGTACAAGCCCGCTCCAGTTCAGCTACAACCAAAACACCAAATACCACAAGTTTTTCCCAATAAGAAAATAAAAACCCTAAAGAAAATGCAATCACTTAAACTCTAACCACACCAGAATGATTATGCAACAAGTAAAAGCTTCAAAACCACACGGCATGCATATACTTAAGAATTTCAAACATCAAATCATTGAAAATTTTAAAAATTAAACATTTCAGAGGATGAGAGCCTTCGACCAAATCTGAGTGCGGCACAAGCATTTCATCTTCGTCTTGCTGCTGCTAACGAAAGGAACAAAATCAGAGATGTGATTGAGAAAAACATAACCCTATCCTACTGAATCATAACCCTGGTGAAGCAATCACTGCAAATAGGTGAATTTTCAAAATTCAAGCCAATTGAAAAGCACTGAATGGAACCCGAAACTCTAGGCGATCAGAAACAAAGAACGAAGCCGGATGTTATCGTATTAGTGAAAATTTTGAGAGTGGAAATGTAGAATAGGAGTTGATACGTACATGCAATTGGGACTCAGTTGCGAGATTGTGATTGTGGTTTCGATTTCAGAACTTGGAGATGTAATGGAGTATGAGGCTTCCATGGAGTTTGCGATTTCAAAACTCTAAAATTCGATCATCGAGCTTGAGATTCGAGTGATGATCACAATTTGGAAAGTGATTTGGGGAATTGAAAGGGAAAAGAAAGAAAGTAAAGAGTTTTACCCATACAAGTGGGGTTCTGGAAAGAATTTGGAAAGTGAGAAACATCCTTAAATCGGTTTGGAAAGAATTTGGGGAGGTTGATATTAAGTGGGGTTCTGGAGTTGGAGGACCCGACTAAGGCACGAGGCTTTTTGCGGGTTAGATTACTTGTTAATACGGCTAATCCGCTGATCAATGGCTGCTGGCTGCGACGTGCGTCTAAAAGGGATACGTGGGTGGAGTTTTGCTATGAAAGATTTGTTTGGACCAAATTTTACATCATCGGTCCATGTAATCAAGGCTGTTTAGTAATCATAGTTCTCAACCGTCGGATGGAAAGGTGAAAATATTTTTGTTAAAGGATAATATTATGGTTTTTATCATAATTATCTTTTAATAAATTATCTTAGTTTTCTTGTACAAAATAAATTATAGAGATTCTTGGACTCTTCACTTGGCTTAACATGGATCTGCAAGCCGAAGATAATGGTGGATAGGACCTAAGCGAGCTAGGATGTTGTCAGATGATGGAAGGCTTGCATGCCGTGTGAAAAGCTACAAGTATATATATATATATATATATATATATATATATATATATAATGGTGGTTATTTTGATGGGATTAAGCTTTGATTGATGTGATAAGATCTAAGGAGTGACTGTAGGTGTATAAAACATAAAGTGGTCAGAGTTTTATTTATTATGATTATACATGGGATAAATGAGTGGTCAGCAGCAACAGTTAGAAAGTTGAAGTCACGAACTACAATCTGAGGTTATGCTTGGCTTTTGACGCGGATCAACTTCAGGAATTAGAGTTGCAATTAAACTCTACAATATTATCAGACCTTGCCAAGCAGAAAAATGAATACTATAAATACAAGATTCGGTGCAACATTCAAAGGACCTCCAATTCAACACACAAAACTGCCCTGTGCAAACCCTCTCAACAACTTTGAGATTTTTTTTAATTTTCTTTTTCGCCAACACATCTTCAGTTTGGATAAACAACATTGTTGCCGTAGAATCAGCCGACCGCGGAGCACCTTCAGTTTGGATAAACAGCACTGTGTCGAGGCCGACTGGTTATCTATCCAAGTCTCGGTCGAGAAGGATTTTCGAATCCTTATTGGCAGAGGTCATCTCATTAGCCTTTTCGGCGAAGTGAGGTGTTACAAGTTATTACATTCGGCACATTGAAAGTCGAATTTGATATTGAAATTCGCAGAACTAGCAACCTTGTCTTCAGGCTCTAAAACCCAAAGGCCGAGAGTGTTCCTTCCTTAGCCGCAGTCGCAAGATTCAGAACTCAGCAGCGCACCCAACGCAACATCAACAAATTTTACTCCTCGGCCGAGGTCGGCCAACGAGTTGGCACGCCCCGCACATAACCGAATGACGTAGTTAGCTCATAGATTACTCGGCCTGCGCGCCACGTAGGCTTGGTAGTTTTTAGGGTCAACATTTTGGCACCCCCAGTGGGACACAGTGCTAAAACTACAAAGTTCACATGATATATCTCGATCAGGCTTCATGGGATGAGTTTCATCGCCTATTAAAGGAGCAAAAACAGCGTTTCAAGAGATGGGGTCGAATTTCTGAAAGGCAAAAGGTCTGGGGTCAAATTTCCAATCCGGCCACAATCAAAATTCGGACTCAGCACATTGTCAAGATGACCGAAGAAACACCTAGACCATTTGTTGTTTTGGTCAAGATTGCAAGTTCGGTTGGCCTAGAAAAAAAAGTTCAAGTTTCTAAGCTAAAAATCGACTTGGAAAATGATTCGTCAGAGGAGTGCTCTAATGACGAACAAGGCCGAGACATAGACCTAGCCGGAAAGACCACGCCAATCGATATGATTATTGGCGATAAAGACGATTTAGAGAAATCCCATTCGGCTAAGTTGTTCGAGTTAAAAGCCGAAATCGGCGAAATTATTATGCCAATTGTTCAACACATTCGGTGGCCGATGTTAAAAAATCTTTTGTCAAGCCGAGCATATTTGGAGATGATTTTTTATTCGGCTTAATGCAAAATTTGATTGGCTATGTTGATATACAAAGATCTCGGCTTGGAATAAAACATCGTTGGCCTCCTCCTCTTTATTAGTTTGGCCACTTTTGTTTTCTTTTATTAAGAACAGGAATAAATTATTTTCTTAATCATCTGGCTAATTAAGCCGACACTTAAGAAAATAAAGGGGGCAACAAGATGGGGCAGATTTATAAAAAAATAAATAAATAAAATAAAATCGGTTGTCTAGGCCGAGGCCGAGAGTTAGGAAAATGCTATGGTGGCCATATAGGTGTTGGCAAATTCAAAGTCTTGTATTGCCGAGCTCGGCGAGGTTGGTTAGAATTGCCGAAGAAATGGAGGCTTCTCATCTTGATGTATGCACGTCATGGAAATATATATATATATATATAAGTATGGGGCTTTGAAAGGTCAAATCAGTTGAGGAAAGGCTTTAAGCCTAAACCCTAGACTTGATGGTTGCAGACATTTTTGGCAGAATTGGTTGAATACATATATATGGCAGTATCACATGGATGTTGTCACATTGGGATATATATGTATAGCAGCGTCACATCAGGCAGGTTTATATATATATATATGTTATATGCTGATTGCATGGCCGACAAATCACATCAGGCAATCTGGTTTACATGTATATATAGGCAGGCCTGGAGATTTTTATTGACCTCGGCCCCAATTACTTTGGGCCTCGGTCCTGCTCGACCCCAATTCTTCTTGGCCTTGGCCCTGCTTTATGATATTACCATAATAGAGGTGACTTTAATGCCGAGGAACAAAATTTGTTTCGGCAATACGATGAGATGTTGTTGGCTATGAACCAGATAATTTCCTTAACCATTCGGCTTACAGGCCGAAGCTCAAGGAAACTGGGGGGCAATGTTTGGACCCAATTTTACACCATCGGTTCATGTAATCAAGGTTGTTGAGTAAGCATAGTTCTCAACCGTCGGATGAAAAAGTGAAGATATTTTTGTTAAAGGATAATAATATTATGGTTTTTATCTTAATTATCTTTTAATAAATTATCTTAGTTTTCTTGTACAAAATAAATTATAGAGATTCTTGGACTCTTCACTTGGCCTAACATGGATCTGCAAGTCGAAGATAATGGTGGATAGGACCTAAGCGCGCTAGGATGTTGTCAGATGATGGAAGGCTTGCATGCCATGTGAAAAGCTACAAGTTATATATATATGTAGGCTGTATAGCCTACATGCATCTCCCAGACTATATAGTTATATATAATGGTGGTTATTTTGATGGGATTAAGCTTTGATTGATGTGATAAGATCTAAGGAGTGACCGTAGGTGCATAAAAGATAAAGTGGTCAAAGTTTTATTTATTATGATTATGCATGGGATAAATGAGTGGTCAGCAGCAACAGTTAGAGAGTTGAAGTCACGAACTACAATCTGAGGATATGCTTGCCTTTTGACGCGGATCAACTTCAGGAATTAGAGTTGCAATTAAACTCTACAATATTATCAGACCTTGCTAAGCAGAAAAATGAATACTATAAATACAAGACTCGGTGCAACATTCAAAGGACCTCCAATTCAACACACAAAACTGCCCTGCGCAAACCCTCTCAACAACTTTGAGATTTTTTTTATTTTCTTTTTGCCAACACATCTTCAATTTGGATAAATAGCACCGTGAAGGCAACCGGCGAACATTTTCAGTATGGATAAACAACACTGTTGCCGTAGAATCAGCCGATCGCGGAGCACCTTCAGTTTGGATAAACAGCATTGCGTCGAGGCCGACTGGTTATCTATCCAAGTCTCGGTCGAAAAGGATTTTCGAATCTTTATTGGCAGAGGTCATCTCATTAGCCTTTTCGGCGAAGTGAGGTGTTACAAGTTATTACATTCGGCACATTGAAAGCCGAATTTGATATTGAACTTCTCAGAACTAGCAGCCTTGTCTTCAAGCTCTAGAACCCAAAGGCTGAGAGTGTTCCTTCCTTGGCCGCAGTCGCGAGATTCAGAAGTCAGCAGCACACCCAACGCAACATCAATAAATTTTACTCATCGGCCGAGCTCGGCCGATAAGTTGGCACGCCCCGCACACAACCGAATGACGTGTTGGCTCATAGATTACTCGGCATGTGCGCCACGTAGGCTGGGTAGTTTTTAGGGTCAACAAGATTACAAGATTTTTGTTATAGGTGTAGGCGTGTTGATCATCTTAATATTGAATGTACATTTGCGATCATTTCTGGTAGGAAAGCAAGGTATGGAGAATGGACAAAAGCGTTTCCAATTAGGGATGAAGTTGTCATTTTGAGACTTTTAGCTTTGGGGGTGGGAGAAAGAAGGCAAGCTGGTACAGTAAGGGATGGAGCTCTTTTAACAGACACGAATTCAGGAAGTGGTTCAAGGCTGAATCAGCAAAGAAAGGTTCTTCCGTTGACGGCAGGGCCTGCGGAGGCGTCTTATCTGCAAAGCTGTGCAATGAGGAAGTGGAGACGAAAGTCGAGACATCAGGATGATAGCATTAAGTCTCTTTTGAGAGGGACAAACGATAGAATTCCAGAGAAGTGGAACACTTTGGGTGGCATTATTCCTCAACAGGTTAGACATGATCTATCTCCCCATGGGGACAGTGAGCATGTGGTTATCAGCCCGGAGATAAATCAGCACTCAGAGTCTGACCCAGGATCAACGAGTTTGACATCTACCATTGTTAGGAAGGCTAAAGGTAATTGGTTGACTCCAAGCTCTGTATTTGCTGAGGCTAGTGGCATGAAAATGGGAGTAGTGTTTCAAAGCTGGGAGTTGCTGCAAAATCCTTTTAAGAAGGTCAAGGGATTAAGAGATCAGGGAAACAGTTCTGGGATGATGGGTGAAACTTGGCAAGGAATGAGTGTCCAGGAACGCTGCTTGATGATTCAGCGCGTGGTCTATGCTGAAGTTGAGTCACATGAGGGTCCTAGTAAGAGCAATCGTTTGCTGACCCATTTCGAAGCTGAGTCAGTGGATGAGCAGCAGTAGAGTGTGACACAGAAAGTGGGCAATGTGGCTCGGGGTGGTGGCGGCTGGCCCTCAACAGCCGTACATCTGCCATGAATTATCTTTTCTAGAACTGTCGTGGTCTTGGGTCGGACACGGTA